AGTTCCAGACCAGCTCAGGATCATCATATGTGCCATTACCCGACCATGGTACCAGTATGCGATGCTTGGCTCAAAGTTGCCTAAACAGACTGGGATCTGATATCCTTGCAAACTTCGGAGCTTGCGATAATTGTCAACTTCTGTTTTAAGGGCATGCTGATTCTCCTTTGTTGTAGCCTTGATGACCACCGTATACCCATGTGACAATAGAGTCGCTTTCATGAGATACCCCGTCCGACCACGGATGTGTAGCGGCTCAAAACCCTTATTTCGATTTTGGACAAGTTGACGGTGCAGCTTGCGCGTGAACTCCTGCGGGCCCATTGGATGCCTCTGACCGCCGTGATGTTGCCAGTTAGGGCACTTTTTATCCAGAGGACCCCCGTTGACCATACCGCGGATACAAGCCATGGTGCAGTACGGTCTCTGCACCCTTTGAGAAGGAGTTTGCTTTGTTCTTCGGTCGGGTGGTGCCCGTTCGCGTCCGCCAGTTGATAGATTTTTACCTTTCCCGCGACTTGATCGACTGCGCGCGGCTGGTGCAGTAGACGGCGAAGGCATATCCTCGTCACTATCGCTGCTTTCACTTGGCGAGCCTACCGGGGTAGATACGCCTGGATTACAGCGAGCGTGGGAACGTGTATTGTGTGTCTTTGGATTCGGTTTCCAGTATGAAGGCCGATAATTCGAGGGCGGCGGCTCCTTGCGAATTGTTTCGGGAATATCGCGCAAGACGTCCAGGTATTCGACTTTCCAGGTCGAAAGCTGTTCATATGCGGCATTGTGCCACTCTTGGGACGGAGCTTCAGCGGCCAGTGCTTGGAGTGTGAACGCAAGCATCTGGCCCACAGCAGTCCGGTGGAGACGGCTCTCATCGCCTGCCTGCACGTCTTGATTTGGGAAACACAAGTAGTATTGAACTATTGTGGGATCCTCTGGAATATGTAGAAAGACAAATGCCTCCCCTGTCCGAATACACCCGTTCTGTATCCCCAAGTCATGCATGTATGAGAATATTTGAGTGACAACAGCGGCAACAAGGCGGGTGGTATGAAACTCAAACGTGTCTCCTTCCTGATCAATAACATCGCGGGCCAGGTCCATCTCGTGCAAGCCCGCGACTAATTCCGCGACTGTAAGCTTGTGAGGGGCTTTAAACTCCACCGCATATACTGGTATCTGGCGCTCGTCAGCCACGACATGAACACAGAACTGATCAGCACGGCGATTGCGCCGCCTTCCTGAACGAGCCCTCGTCTGACTTTGACTCATTTGTTTCCCCTTCCCTTTTCTTCTACCTCTCCCGCGGTTGGTGTTTGTTGGTTGATGGGGTGCGTCGTCAAGATGCATTTCTAGACTGTCATCCAGTGAGGTTGAGTTCGTGCGGTCATAAAAGGCCACTCGGCCCTCAATACCAAACTCCCGTTGCAAAGTTTCATCGCCTCGTAATGCCTCGACAATCTTTTCAACAAAGTTATCCACAGTGTCTCGCTCGAAATTTCGTAAAGTCGCTTCTGAGTAAATCGGTCGGTCTTGGACATTTGTTGCGACATAGTCTAGCTGGGTATCGGAAGGAAAGAGCGGACGTGAGGTAAAGCCGACTGCACGCTCGAGTTTCTTCCAGATTTGCTCCTGGATCTGAGGGAAATCAAGCCATGGAACAATCCGCTTGGGAAAAAGTCGATTGACCGGGTCAGTCACGTTGCCTTGGGTCGTCAGGGTCGCGTTCGTCTCGACTCGGATCGTCTGTGACAGAGATTCGTGGCAGCGATCGAGAAGGCGAAATAGAGAGTTGGGTTGCAGTCGTTGTTCTGCCTCTTCCTGGCGCCGTTCTGCCTCTTCCTGGAGCCGTTCTGCCTCTTCCTGGAGCCGTTCTGCCTCTTCCTGGCGCCGTTCTGCCTCTTCTCTGGCCCGTCTCTCTTCCTCCAGTTGACGTCGTAATTCAGCAATATCGTCCTGCATAGCTAGCGGTAAATCTGTCTTCAAAGAGCTAGTGGATGACCCGCTGTTAGGACACCATGCATGACACAACGCATGACAAGAGTCGCGATGTGGCAGTGGCATCCGAGCACCTGTTTATGTTCGATTACTAATCCAGCTAGCGCGGACGCTTTATGCCTTAAGACACCAAGTATTTCCTACAGTTGTCGACATATGATTGATGTTTCAGGCGCAATTTAGCTATGGATCGGCCTAACTCTTTATCTCTAGTTAATGAGAATGTTCTTCTTGCCGCCAGCTGATGAGGCACTAAACCAAGCACATTGTTACAACTGGCGGGCTGCGCCTCCGGAGATGCGTTGACTACTAATGTTCCTAGGAAATATCTCAGTTTCCGAAATTTAGATACTTCATAGGCCAGTTTGCTTCAGGCATGTTAGCAAGGCTTCCTATTTACTGACGTCATCAGATTATGGCAGTGCTTTCAGCGCATGTAAATATTAAGTGAAGGCCGAGGAAGGGACCGTTCAGAAAATTCTCACAACTAAAAATGAATAGCTTTTTGATCTGGCTTCTGGCCGTCATATCTCGTCTATTTCTGGGAGTAGAAATCCTAATATGACTACAGTCGGAGTCGAAAACAGATTCCCTCATGGACATACACGCATTGTTTCTCGGCCCGTATCCGAAACCACCCTAATCCTAATCGGGTTACTCTACAAACAACCCCTGCCTAGTCGTATCATGAATTATATTGTATTTGGTTTCATCGTCGAATAAGTCATTGTAAAATACTGTAGGTTCCTAGCGAATGTTCTAGGCCGGGGTTCTAAGAGGTTGGGGGGAACGTCTGGCGATCTGGCCCGTCCCACGCCCGCCGTCTCCCTTGCCTCGTCTTCCTCGGTGACCTTCACCTATATCTATCTCGTACATGACGAAAGCCGTGCTGCTACCGTATAGAACTAAACCTGGTAGGTTAATATGATTCTCGTTTGTGTTTTCCCATGGCTCCTGCTTACTACTACCAATTCTATTCGTTCTTGGCGTCTAACCACAGCTGGTATCCTCCCACTTCAGCTGACGCAGACCTTCAGAGTTTCGATCGTGTGAAGATATGAGCACTAGTCTGTACCATGCTAACTACATCTCTCAGTCCCTGGAGGCCGAACCATGGAACCAGGATTCACTATATGCCCCAACCCCAGGATACTTCCGCAGCCCTTACACTACGCGATCCAACTGTAGCCCCTCCCCCTTTATCGTGCTCAACGATGCACCCAATCCACAAGCCAACTTCGACCAAATACTGTACCACTGCTTCAGTTATCTGAGTGGGATGAAGACAAAATTTACGACGAAGATCCGCCAAGCTGTATTCACTACTCCATCGAATGGCGAGTCACTCTCAACAAGGCGGTAGTGAAAGACACGGAAGAAGACCTGGTATTAACCCCAAGCGCCTACTAGCGGTTATTCCTAGAACAGAAGCTACAGACTGTCCTTCGAGAGAAAATCTCCCGCAGTAAAAGGGTCAGGGTCGATGACACGGCGATTGTTGTGCCAGTCAATGACCGTTCCCAGCGTGATCTGACCAAGCGCTTCAACAAAACCGAAATTGTTTGGGCTCCTATCGAGAAACAGCTCCGGATGTGGTCGAGTCATTTCTGTCGTGGAAAGAGACTCACACTGAAGATTGGTTTTAATTACGTGGAGGATTGCACTTCCCCACCCGCTGGACGGAAAGGGAAGAAAAGAGGTAAATTTTCTGCTACGAAAAAAATGCTCGATGAGCGAGATGCACAGCTAGATGCTGAAGAGAATGGTATCTGGAGAGCGATCAAACCGGGAATTGCTCGAACTTTCGTAGAGAACATTCGTGACTGGGTTGAAAGAGTGAAGAACACTGTACCCGTTCTTGAGGTGATATAGAGTATTTCGTATTGGCGTTACGCGCAGCTCTGGCGTTTTCAGGGGTTGGAATTGGATAGTCCCGGCAGGAGAACCCGGCGCAGGACAATGAGGACAGCCTGTGCCACAAATGCGCAGAGGAAATAGCATGAGCGAATAGAACTTAGAAGCGCCGGTTCTAGTAGATTCGCCATTGTGATGCGGTCAAGATAGAATATACCAGCTTTGCTGTAGCTCTGTTTTGTGGGTATCAGAATGCCTGTTTCTACTGCACACTTCGCATTTAAGATTGGATTATCATTCTGGGCTTCGGTCGTCATTAGGGCAATGTATTCGGCACCGAGATCTTCCTTCGGCATTGATTACCATTATCTCGGAGAGGTAGTAGATATGTGGGTAGTGACCAATCGGTATGCTGAATGATATAGACTTATAAAGACTTTAAATAAGTCATCGCTAGGCCGAACATCGTTCTCTATCACAAACCGAAATTGCAATTCAACCCAATTCCAAAACCACCAGCATACATTACACCAACATGGGTTCTATTTCGCCATTCCCTAAAAGCCACGGAAAATCGCATTGTAACAATGAAGATGGCTCCTGGAACGGATACCGTATCCGTGAGACGCGTCTGGGCACGCGGCGGCCAGCCAAAGTGATATTGATGGGTATAAGCGCGGCAGGCATTGATTTCGCCCATTCCGTGGTGGATAAGATGGACAACCCCGAGCTACAGATTTACGAAAAGAACAGCGACATTGGAGGAACATGGCTGGAGAATCGATACCCTGGATGCGCCTGTGGTGTTCCCAGTGTCAGCTACCAGTACATCTGGCAACGCAAGCCAGATTGGTCTCGCTATTTTTCCGGATCGCGGGAGATATGGCAATACTTCAAAAATGCGGTAAGGAGCAACCAGTTGAAAAGGTTCGTCAAGTTCAACCACCAGGTTATCCGGGCGGAATGGCTCGATAGTTTGTCCAAATGGAAAGTCACCATCATGTGTGATAACGATCCGCGGACGTGCTTCGATGACTATGCGGACTTTTTGTCAACGGCGGCGGCTATCTCAACAAATGAAAGTGACCTAACATCAGAGGACTCAATGACTTTCAAGGCGTCCGCGTCCACAGTGCCAATTGGGACGACAATGTCCAGCTCGACAACAAGCCTGTGTTGGCCATAGGGGTAGGCAGCTCTGCCGTACAAATTGTTCCAACTATCATTGATCGAGTCCAACAGCTGCACGTCGTCGCCCGTTCTCCAACCTGTATCACTGCCGGCGGTGCTCCTAGTTACGCCGGACCTGGGGGAGCGAACTTTACCTACATCGACGAGACGAAACAAAAGTCCCACGAGAACCCCGAATTATACCTGAGATACTGCAAGGCTGTCGAGTCCGAATTGAACATTCGCTTCCGGTTCATAGTCAATGGTTCCCCTGAATCGCAAGAAGCTCGCACGTTTTGCGAGAATTTCATGCGACAGAAATTGGTCAAGAAACCGGGATTGATCGACAAGCTCATTTCCAAGAATTTTGGCGTCGGCTGTCGCCATCCCACCTCTAGCAACGGCTTTTTGGAAGCCCTGACCGAGGACAGAACCAGCATCTGGACAGAAAACATCCGTGAGATCACAGAAACTGGATTCGTCAGTGCCGATGGTCAGCATCGCGAAGTGGACGTTATTATTTGCGCCACTGGGTTCGATACGACTTTTTGCCCTCGTTTCCCTCTCCTGCAACACCCGAGATACGAGGATTATGATATTGAATATCTCATCGGGAACCGGTTCAACTATCTGGGTAATGAGTTTGCAGTGCGGGATCATGACGGACGTAACTTGACTTGGTATTATGGCTTGGTGAATGGAGAGGACCGGCAGTCTGAGAGTTTGCCTCCCACGTTCTGATTTCCTGTACTTTAGACCAGTCACATTCCGGCTGGGTGTATATCGTGCTATGCGACAGAAATCCTAAGTCAGTTCCTCGGAAAGGTATACGGTATCCAGCCTTTATGCAGACCAGAAATTTCTTACCAGACAAGCCGGTTCTATCCTCCACACACCAGCCAAAAAAAAAAAAAAAGGGGGAGAGAGAGAAAATGAGAATAAGCGAACGCCAAAAAAGGAACGTCCCCGGGAAGGCTCGAACTTCCAACCTCCTGATAACAGCCCATGGGCATAACAGTCAGACGCGCTAGCCTATTGCGCCACGGAGACGAATTATCTTAGAATGATCTGTTAAGAGTTTGGTATCCAAGCAATAACGGCATCACACAAATACCGTATGGTCGTGAAATACTATAATAGCACGATTGGACGCTGGTGCTCAATGGGTCTGCTCCCCCACTCATATCAATAATCCGTCTCCGAGTGTCATACCTGTTGAATCTCGACGCATAGCAGCTATTATCGCAATAACCACGAATCGCGCAGTATGGGCGAGTGCGTCCGGATTCCGTTAATCAGGGATCGTAATGTCATGGCAGACTATATGTCATAGTTGCTCTATGCTCTTGTTCAATATTGTAGATATTGAGTTTTTATTGAAGGTTGCTTGGTCCGCCATCCGGTACGTACGTGACTGTCACTAGTTTCTACCGGCCTTCCTTCCGGATCACGCCTCGCCAGAAAGGAATAAGATCAGAAAAGAAAAGCGATGAAGAAAAGAAGCGTTGACAGACTCGATGTAATACAAAGAAAAAAATTTTAAAAAGTCGTCCCCGGGAAGGCTCGAACTTCCAACCTCCTGATTAACAGTCAGACGCGCTAGCCGATTGCGCCACGGAGACTAACTTGTTATGGCAGACTATATTTTTATGGTTCTTTAGGAAAATAAATTGCAAGTCCCTGTTAGCTCCGGATCTTCGCTCCAAATCTGGGTTAGTTCCCGGTCGATAAGTCGAAGTCAATCTCTCTACTTTTTGTTGACATCTAGGCTTTTTTCAGTGAAAGAATTTTCTTCGTCAGCTTACAGCTACACAGATCGTCGCGAGGGAGTGTCGTAGCAAAGTGGGCCTACGCCTTTGTTGCTACCTTGCAGTGATTATCTTCATCACTCTCTACGGAGTACAAACGGTTCTCTTGCTATATATCGCATATGTGGACATGAAAAAACCATGTCAGACTTCTGGCAATGTCCAGAGACTATCTAGAGGTCTTCAGCCATTCAATAGCGCGAATAACGACTATGCTCTGATTGTTACACTGGCGTTACGACGTTTACTGGTCAGGCAGAGATGAATGCACTTCGAAAAACGGTTGCCCAAGCGGCAGGCCGTGTCATAACCCCAGGGGATAGCGGATTTCTCACGGTTTCCCTCCAATCGTTCTTGTTCGAAGTTCTGTGGTAGCCTCTCCAAGAACAGTGGCTTTTCTCTTTGAACAAAACTTCCGGGTTTCTGGGTCATATTTTTGCGTCAGACATCATAGGCTTAAGGAAAGTGGTTACATTCCCTAAGTGGGATATACAAGTCCAATAGTGAACAATAAAGATCCGGCGGGGCGGGATTATATATAACCTCCAGCACTGAAATGCCATATCGACAATTTCAGCAGCTCGACCAGTCGGCTTTCTCACACAAATTATCATGACTTCGATATAAGTATATTTCGTTCACAGGGAATCGAAAGCCATATCCAAACAGATGGTCTAGAGCCGACTGTTACAGACCTAGCCACATCAGTCTCACGTGACTATGCGGGGAGGTAAGGCAGAATCATTGGGTTACAAGGAATAATGGAGATACAGAAGGAACAGGGATTCCAGCTGATAACCCAAAGGATCAGTCACGTGATTCCCTACCATTTATCTACCATGAATGGTATACGGAATGGTATATGCTACCATCTATCTACCCTAGATGGTATACAGAATGGTAGGAGAACGGAAGATATATAAGGACACTCATTCATGTACTCAGTTTAGTTCTTCGCAATCAATCTAGTTAATCAAGCATTGGTTACCTTCTAGTTTCTGACTCGTCCGCACTTAACCAACAACCCAGCATACGTGCTCGGTTGGCCTTGTTTCTCTATTCGTTACCTTTACCGTTTCTACCTGTTGATTATCTTACGGAGCCTGGAGGGGGCGACATACCTTCGACGTGATATACAGAGGACCTGGATGGTCATTGAGCACATGAGTGCTTGAAAGACACTTAGGGTAAGTGTCCTGTCTCGAAATACAACTAACTAGAACCCTAGGTACGATACGAGGGAAGCCAGGTTGTGACACCGACACATCGACACAGCCTTCTCTTGCCGATTTGATCATCTCCGTTATGGCCATGGGATTCATCATGGTGCGCGAGAACCCTTTGGACGGGACGCCAGAAGGGGCTACCCAGTGCGTGAAGACAAGTTACTTTATTGCCAACCAGATATGGTTTATGGGGGGTAGCTGGTGTACGGGAAATTGGTCGGGCCTCATTTTGCAACGTAGATTTGCCATATGGACCCCTATATTGGGCCCGAGTCTCTTAACAGTACGTCTCCGTGGCGCAATCGGCTAGCGCGTCTGACTGTTAATCAGGAGGTTGGAAGTTCGAGCCTTCCCGGGGACGTTTTTTTTTTACTGTTTTCTTTTTCTCCAACGTAGAAATTCACTTTAGGCTTAAAGCACCCCGGATAGCACTGCATATGTGCGAATAACCTTCTGTCGTCCCCATCCGATTCGCTAATTCAATCGTCAACACCAGCAATACTCCGAGGTATACCCGCAACACCCGCGTTTCACCGTAGCCCATCTAGGCAAGACGACATCATTGGCATCATGAAATCCACGGAAAAACTCAAGGGAGAACGCAGGATTGGATCGCCCCACAATGTTCCAGTCAGTTACTCCACGGTAGGGCGAGTCTACTCCGTAACTTCAGACCATATAAGAAACCTGCCCCTCCATCGACCCCTCCATCCCACTTACCCCGATTTCAAGCTCAATTGACAAAAGAATAACACACTACAAACCGCCAAAATGGTCTACAACATCGTCGTTCGTACGTCATCCTTCACTCCTTATCTGATTTCCTTCAAAGCACTTCGTACTAACCTAAACCAGACATGCGCGCAAAGCCCGACCAGGAATCGATCCAGAAGCTGCACGCCAAACTCCTTGAAGCCTCCGCCGTCTACTCCAAGGACCACGAGACCCTCTCGTGGTTCGTCATGCAGTCCGTCCACGACCCCCAGGACTTCTGCATCGTCGAGCGCTACCTCCACGAGAGCTCGCAGAAGTACCACCTCGAGAATCCCTACTGGAAGACCTTCGACCCCTATGTGATTCCTCTGCTAGAGAAAGAGATGGACTTGCGCCGGTTCGAGGAGCTTGTCTAAGTGCCGGGATTTTGCTGTGAGGAATTTGCGTCATGATGTTATAGTTACAGAGCATAGAGATCATGGGTCGTTGATCGATCGGTAAATTATTCAAATGTCGCTGTGCGTAGTACAACCGTAGTAGATTCAATTGAACATCCTCTAAAGAGAGATACTACAGACAAAAAAAAAAAAAAAAAAAAAAAAAAAAAAAAAAAAAGGCTCAATTCAATCAACTACCAATGGTAAAAATTGGTAGCCAAAAAAAGTCGTCCCCGGGAAGGCTCGAACTTCCAACCTCCTGATTAACAGTCAGACGCGCTAGCCGATTGCGCCACGGAGACGTCTTCTTAATTTTCGGCCAGCCTAACTTGATACAATAGGCTTGAACAGATTTTAACAAATAACAAAGCTATTGTTCGGAAGGCAACCACGTTCATACAACATCATGGACAAACACCACTGCACGTAACGAATATGAAGATCTCAATCGTGAAACTACTTAGCTCAAGGAAAATTGGCCTAGTGGCTTCCTTAAGAGTCGATATGTAATGTAAGCCTTACGCGCAAACATAAATGCTCTTGAGTCCGAACCGCAACTAAAAGCGCATCGAAACATGAGAGATTAATGTATGAAACAATAGAATTGTTAAGCCTGAAAAATAAAAGGCAAGATATAGAAGTCAGAGTCTGGATACTACATGTATATAGCCGTCAAAAAGCCTCAGAATCGGCAAACCGACAAGTCGCCGAACAAGCATCGGCCAGAACTGGACGGTATCTTTCTCCGATTAGATCAGACCTGTGAAGCCTGGATTATTCTCAAATTTAAGCACCGTGATGACTCGTATACCTGCTCGATTGCGAGCACTATCAGTCCGTCCTCGCGCTTTTCCGCGCGCTCGACCATTCGCATACTCCTATGTCGATAGTCTCGTCCAGACGCCCCGTTTAACGTACGCGTCACTCCAGCTCGAACGATGCCTAGCAAAGTTGCCAAAGATAATTATTGTCAGCGATGCTTCAGTACCTCAACCCCCGAAATGCGAATACCAAGATCGTCAATGCCCCCCAGATGGCCGAATCTATATCTGAAGGCGTGCTCGCCTCTTACACCAAGCAAGTCGGTGATTATGTCGACTTGGATGAAGAGCTAGCTTTGATCGAGACAGACAATATTGATGTCGCCGTGAACGCGCCTGATCCGGGAATAGTAACCAAGTTGTTGGTTGGTGAAGGAGATACAGTTACAGTCGGGCAAGCCCTCATCGAGATCGATGTGGATGCGCGCGAGAAGCCGACCTCATCAGCAAAGGATTCAGAGCCGCAAAGAGTCAAGGATCTCGCTGCACAGCAATATTCAGCGGAACAAAAGCAACAACAATCCATGGCTCCGGCAGCATCTTCGTCACTGTCTCAGGAAGCATCAGTGTCCGCATATGGAGACAGCAGCCGTGCTGAGAACAAGGTTACTACTACTTCCCCCTATCCCTCCAGCCAGTTATACGATGTTCATCAAGTGTCCCCAGGTCAAGATGATACGAATGCGCTTGCGCACAGCGGAACGTCTGAAAGAGTCGCAAAACACAACAGCATTCCTTACAACCTTCAACGAAGTCGATATGTCCCAGGTCATCGCCATGCGTAAACAATACAAGGATGAGGTTCTCGACAAACAAGGTGTGAAGCTTGGATTCATGGGTCCGGTAGCTCGCGCTTCTGCAATGGCTTTAAACCAGATTCCGGCTGTGAACGCTGCGATCGAGAACGACGACACGATTGTCTTCCGTGATTATGTCGACTTGAGTATAGCAGTCGCCACCCCCAAGGGGCTTGTGACGCCCGTGCTCCGGAATATTGAAAGAAAGAGTGTTGTTGGTATTGAGCAAGGAATCGCAGAGTTGGGAAAGAAGGTGTGTCGCACTCGCGCCTCTTGTTGGGTACTAATAGACTTATATATTGTTACCATGTCCAGGCTCGCGACAGCAAATTAGCCATGAACGACCTGACCGGTGGCACCTTCACTGTCAGCAACAGCGGAATATGGGGATCTCTTTTCGGAACTCCTATCATCAACATGCCGCAGAGCGCGGTTCTTGGTATCTACGGAATCCAAGAACGGCCTGTTGTGATCGACGGTGAGGCATATATTCGATCAGTAGGTTTTAGGACTTTCTGTTCGAGATTGTTTGTTCGCTAATCCATGTAGATTATGCATGTCGCGTTGACTTATGATCATCGTTTGGTCGACGGCCGTGAAGCTGTCATCTTACTCGCGTTGGTAAAGAAGTATTTGGAGGATCCGGCTAGTATGCTCCTTATTTGAGATTTCTGTTTATAGTTATAGGGTAGCGATCAGAATATGTTTGAACCTGAATTTGTACTTGGCATATACTCTACATGAAGATTCGATGTCGTACCCCGGTATATATATTTGGAAACCAAGGGAACACCACCGTCTTGGCGAGTAGCCATTTATTGATAGCGATAGAATGGTTTTCAATCCCTCGCCCCAGATTTGATGACCAATTCTTGGATATATATTCACCCGTTCGTGCAGCCGGTATGATATTTAGCCAGTATTATACAATTCCGCCTCACGAACACATTTGCAATGGTGTCTTTGCTTTCTAGTTGATAGGTATCAGAGCAACCGACCTTGAATACAGAATCCCTTATCTTGAACTGATGGGTCATATGGCAGGGTGTCGACATCCAAAATTCAAAAATTCATGCCAAAAGCTGAGATGGGGACAGAATTTCTTCTGGGTTCACTGGCGAGTGGAATAATCCTAGATGACATGGAAGGTACAGACAAGCGGTAACAAGCAAACCAACTCTGAAGAGATCTGTTGTGCGAGAAAGAAGCCCCAGAACATATAACTTCGAAAATAGTATTACACTGGAGAAACATATAGAGTTCTTGTTTTCTCCCTGAACAGAAAGAATGTGACGAAGAAGCTTGTATGATTGCCATCAGCAGTATCCTAGCTAGACAAGGCCCTCTTGACAACGAATTCGACAATTGATCAGGTACCTCAACCAGACGCCCTTCCCTTCCAATTCAACCCTAGTACATGATGATGATGGCAGTCTAGTCTGAGATAGATTTTTAGCTACGGAGTTGTTGATCATTTGCACTGGTTGAATGTGTACTGTGAAAAGCGTTTTTTGCATGACTACCGTCACCTGTGTGTAATTAATCAATGCTGTATATCGCTTTCAGCAGTAGCGGATGGTGGCGATGATGAGAACCATCCATTTGTTTGAAATTCCAATGGGCCAAAGACAGTAAGAAGATCAAGTATAATATGAAAAAATACAGTTAGAGAAGAGAAACGTGATACGTGTATGGATGCCGTTTTCAAAAGCCATGAACCTGTCGCCAGATAACGCCAAACCAGCGGTGTATCGAGATATCAAATGCACCAAAATCAAGAGAAAATATTATACCAGAAGACAAGAAGTGCTCACAGAACAAGCGAAGCACCTTGCTCGCCTGCAAAGAATTTCTTCTGCTCTAAGCATCTTTCGCTGCGGCATCCCTGGCAGCGCAGAGTCATCTGCATTGAGCATGGCTCATTTTTCTGCAGATGGGTCTTCGCAATGTCTGCAAGAGCCTCGATGAAGATCGGGTTATCATTCATACTCTCGGCCCGCTTGACTCCCGGAAGGTGGCCGGCGTCTTCCATCACCTCGAGATCCAGCTCATAGAGGGTTTCGATGTGGTCACTGGTGAACGCAATGGGTACGAGAACGATGTCGGTATGCCCACGTTTCACGTATTCCTGGACAGTGTCGCTGGTCTGGGCACCTAGCCAAGCGGAGGGCCCCACCTGGGATTGCCAGCACAAACGGTAGGGGTTGCTGAAGTTCAATCTCTGCATGACCGCATTGACAGTGGCAGCAACTTCCGCTGGGTAAGGATCACCTATGATTCCATTAGCCAACTGTCCATGCAAATATCATTTGTTCCATTCATACCTCTGTTCACGACGCTCATCGGCAAGCTGTGTGCTGAGAACAATAACACCGCGCTGCTCCTCTTCTCTTCAGGGTATGTCGCGAGCTGAGCCTCAATGTTTTTCGCAAATGCTTCAATCAGTCCGGGGTGAGTTGGCCAGCGGTCGATGACACTCCATTGCACCGTGCCAGTAGGGTTCACATCGCCATTTGCACGCCTGCCCTCCAAACGATTCCGCCACTTCCATAACTCATTAAGCGAACTACCGGTGGTCGAGCAAGAATACTGCGGGTATTGTGTAAAAGCGACTGCACGGCCTCCCCTCCCTCTCCCAAATCCATCGTCAAGTAGCTTGGTGTACATCTCTTCGGTCAGAGGATCGGCATAGCGGAATGCGACGTATGGCTTGTGCGGGGCGGATTCGGGGTTAATTTTGTCTAGAACCTTGCACATCTCTGTGCATTGATATTCAGACCATTTCCGGATCGGCGATCCACCTCCGATTTCTGCATATTGTTTCTGAATCTTCGGCGTTCTTCTCTTCGAGATAAGCGGTCCGAGATATGGTTGGAGTCGTCCGAGAGGAATTAAATCACCGTCGGCCTTTGTGGGAGAAATTGAAGTCAACCATAATGTCCGAGTATAGCTTCCCAGCACGAAAACGTACAAATAGCCTGCTCAAGAAGGATTCCACTTCATCTGTTGTTGACGGTCCTCCCATGTTCATGAAAACCATGGCAGTAGGTCCTTTCGACGATGTCTCATCCTGCGTCACTGGAGGAACTGCGGTTGCCAGACCTGCTCGTTGGCTTAGAAAGCTCCTAGTAACTGGGCGTGATCCTGAAAGAGCACTATTAAGTGCCCGTGGAAGAGAGCGGAAAGCCATGGTCGAGTCGGTTTATGCCACCTAGCCTTTTCGAAGTTGAACCAATTCCAACGAAACAAGGTACCGGTAGTAATTGAAAAGAAAGAGACTAAACCCAGCTTTGAAACCAGAAAATCCAGTGGCAAGATGATCAATAATAGTTTATGGTATGGCACCGCCGGAAAGCTGAGATGAAGTCCAGAACGGGTTGATGACGGAGCAAAACAATCAGCCAATAAGAGACAAGTGACGGTAATCAGATCTTGGCGAAGTCACATGATGTTCGTGTCTCGTCCGCGTCGGTTATCGCGTGTCCCGTGACGAAATAGGCAGCAGAGCCCCATGGCGTTTATATACCAGCTGTTTATCCCCATGTAAACCACCATCATCTGTCTCCGTGGCCACTCACTTGTAGCGCAACATGGCTGACGATAACCACGACGAAGGGATTTATGTGGAGGAGGAGGAAGAGGAGATTGATGAGTCGGTTAGCAATACGTCATTCCCAGCAGAGCAGTACTAGCTTGGTTGGGGTTGGATGCTGATAGCCTGCACTAGGCGTATAAGTCCGTGAAAGATGCCGTTCTGTTTGCAATCGAAGTCAGCGACTCCATGCTTGCACCCCGCCCCTCTTCAGATCCCAAGCAGTCCACCGAGGAATCACCTACGACCGCAGCCCTGAAATGCGCGTACCACTTGATGCAGCAGCGCATTATTTCCAACCCGCATGATATGATAGGTGTCTTGCTATACGGGACAAAGGTATCTAAGTTCTATGATGAGGATGAGAATAGCCGGGGAGGTCTCTCATACCCACACTGCTACCTCTTCACGGATCTAGACGTTCCATCAGCACGGGAAGTCAAGGACCTACGGGCGCTGGCTGAGGGCGAAAATGAAGTTAGAGATATCCTCGCGCCTTCGTCGGAGCAGGTATCTATGGCCAACGTGTTGTTCTGTGCAAACCAGGTCTTCACCTCCAAGGCTCCTAACTTCCTATCTAGACGGTTGTTCATAGTGACGGACAATGACAACCCCCATAGTGACAGCAAGGCTCTGCGGTCTACTGCGACGGTCCGTGCAAAGGACTTATACGACCTTGGGGTCACTATTGAACTCTTTCCAATTTCTCCTTCGGAGCAAGAGTTCGACAATTCCAAATTTTATGACGTAAGAATGCTTGATTGCTTGTGATAGCATTGTACTCACGAGCCCTAGGATATCATCTATAAGGCTTCTCCCACGGACCCAGAAGCTCCTGCTTACCTTAAATCTGACACGAGAACCGAAACAGCAGGGGCAGATGGGATCATGCTTCTCAATTCTCTTCTGTCGAGTATCAACTCTAGATCAGTTCCTCGCCGTTCAGCGTTCTCTAATATCCCCGTCGAAATTGGACCTGGCTTTAAAATATCTGTGAACGGCTATTTGCTTTTCAAACGTCAAGAACCGCACAGAAGCTGTTATGTCTGGCTTGGGGGCGAAGAGCCTCAGATTGCCCAGGGAATCTCGACTCGAATTGCAGATGATACCGCACGCACGGTCGAGAAGCAAGAGATCCGCAAGGCATACAAATTTGGAGGCGAACAAGTCACATTCACACCTGAAGAGCAGTTGACACTGCGGAACTTTGGTGACCCAGTTATCCGTATCATTGGCTTCAAATCTCTTTCAGCGCTGCCCTTCTGGGCCAATGTGAAGCACCCGACATTCATCTACCCGTCGGAAGAAGACTATGTAGGCTCTACACGAGTCTTCTCTGCTTTGTATCAGAAACTTCTCCGTGATAAGAAGGTTGCGTTGGTTTGGTTCATTCCTCGAAAGAACGCAGCGCCCGTTCTCGGTGCGATGATGGCTGGTGAGGAAAAGCTAGATGAGAGAGACGTGCAAAAGTTTCCACCAGGAATGTGGATTATCCCTATCCCTTACGCAGACGATGTTCGACAGAACCCAGATATGGCTATGCAGGTGGCGCCAGTATCGCTGATTGATAAGATGCGTGTGATCATCCAGCAGCTGCAGCTCCCGAAGGCTGTCTACGAGCCACTCAAGTATCCCAACCCATGTGAGTATAGAATGCCTCACAGCCTCATGTAATGTGGCAACACACTGACTTAGATCAGCCCTTCAATGGCACTATCGTATCTTGCAAGCACTTGCTTTGGACGAAGACCTTCCCGAGAAGCCAGAGGACAAAACGAAACCAAAAGCCAAACAAATAGACAAGGTAAACCTTTGATCTCCAGATGTTTTACAGATATCATACCCGAATCATTGGACTAACACTATCTCCCCCAGCGCGCTGGCGAATATATTGAAGAATGGGAGAAAGAATATGCAGAACTAGCTGCTGCTTTCCCCAACAAAACAACTCTTGTGAAGCGAGGTGCAAAGGGGCAAGAAGATGGTCATGCGACAAAGAAAGCGAAGGTGGACGCTGGACCCAAGGGATCTGAGGATGAGGTCCGGAAGCACTATGAAAAGGGAGCCATAGCTAAGGTACGCTTCCCTCCGCACAACACTCGGGTTTTGTTACTAACCACAGTTGGTGTAGCTCACCCTCCCCATCCTCAAGGAATTCCTCACCAACCATGGCCGCTCTACTGCGGGGAAGAAGGCGGATCTTATTGACCGAGTCGAAGAATACTTTGAGAAGAAGGCGTAATGGCTGTACTTTGGCTTTGCTATAATGAGCAATGTATTTTCAGGATTTCGTGACGAGTAATGACATTGATTAAAGACAACAAGACGCAACTCTCGTTCCCCTTTCATACCGTCCCAGCGGTGCAGCCTCGCATCATATCCTAGTGAGTCTCAGAATAACTTCCATATCCTCTGCAATGGCAGACCGAAGATAGGTTCCATCGAACTCAGGCTTCCAGCCTAGCTCCCACGCTAGGTCAGACCTGGTCCTCGCGCTGTATAGTAAAAAAAAGTTCATTAATACATGAGCCCGGTCAGCAAGCAATGAAAACCACTTTGAAGCAAACACAGCCCCCGCAAATACCTTATTCCCACCCAACCATTTCCAGCCGCATCCTCCAACGAAACAGACCTCACCTCATTCTCCAAAACCCCAAGCGCATGTCCAACCCTACTAATCCCCTCCGCAACATTACATTTGGGCTACTATAGCTACGACGGTGTCGGAAAGCGTAACAGAAAGTAATACAAATACAGCCAGCCGCCCGTATAGGCGGTCGTGTCGAATGCTCCGGACAAGGTCAATCCAGTACCCGCCAACCTGTATCAGCAAATGCCCGGTCCCGGTCCCGCCCCAACTAATGATCAAATAAAAACAGGTGGATGGGATCCTGCCATTGGCGTGTTCCATTGTGAAATCAACGCTCAGATCGATCAAGCCTTTGCGTATGTTGAATTGAACTTCACTTCAAGGGTGCCAGGGGAAAGGGTTGGGAGCAGGTATTTCGGGCTAATTTTTACATGTCCTGTTGAACAATGAGGCGCTGGAGACTATGGTCCAGAATTTAAGAGGTATATGCCTGATAATCAGCCTCTTTGACTGTTGTTGGGTATCGCGGCTGGGAGAAGATGATATGCGCGTGGAGATTGAGGTTGTTGCTCATGATCCCTGATAGATGGCGACTGCATAAATGGAATAATGGTCGTAAGTATCTGGGTCTGACAATTGGCAGTTGCTAAGGTTTCCCTGTATTGAATGTTATTGACATGGCAAGACTTTCATTCGCATAATATGTATACGATTGACTGTATCCGAATCTGCTCTCACGAAGACCATGGGATCTGAGCATAGAAGAGAGCTAAAATGTACAAAGGCACAGTGGCGGGTATCTGGTATATGTATGAAAGATAAAAACGCCTATCCAATGTAATATTCCAAATAAACAATTGACGAGCAAAAAGAGATAACCAGCCGCGGTATGATACGGCATGCTGGAATAAAGGGGCTAAAGCCAACTAACACTTTCCGTAGACTTGGCAGTAGCAGAGTTCCTGGTCGGGGCAACTGCAAATTGTTAGAACTGGCTGTCGTAAAATGCGAGGAATAACTTACTAGACCGACTCCATGCCAAAAATAACATGCCACAGAAATTCCATAATACGTCCACTAACAGCATCAGACCTATCCGTATCAATAACCCACTGCCGGATCTTGACATAATCCTCCTTCGGACGCTTGTGCACCTGATTCCTCGACACAGCAAACTGTGCGCAACAAGCAGTACCGACCAACTGCGGCATCGGCATGTACTTCTGATCTTGGTCAAATCGCAAATCAGTAGCGATGTTGGCCGACTCGCTGGCGTTCAGCGGCGGCGTGCTTGTTCCCGCGAAGAGTTCTGTCCATACTTCTTCCGTGATGTGCTTGTTGTGGCGGTGGTTTTCCTTGCAACCCGGGTTCCAATTGCAACGGAGGTTGACGTAGCCGTTTTGTTGGACGAAGGGGGTTTGGAGGGCGCGCATGGCGGCGACGTTGTCGTGGAGTGGCGCATCCACGTGCCATGCCATTAGGAATCCAGAGCGATGGGAGTGAAGAAACGCGATGGTTGAAGGGAGTTTGTCGTAGTAGTCGATCACGTAGGTTAGGTAAGCCATGGACTCGTGGCCCTTGTTCACAGGCGTTGTGAGCATTTCCTCATCGGCGGAGATGGTGTTTGAGGGATTCACGATGTAAATCGCACGTTGCCAGCTATTTTGAAGGATTCGCGTTAGATATTGCTGAAAGTGCAAGAGGCGAAGATTGAGGAACACCTACTCCGGCAGTTCCTCCTCCACCCAGTTTGTTTGTTCCGTTTCCAACTTGGCCATGACAATCACCTTATCCCCCGGAGTTGTCTGCGCAGCCACATCCTTGTAGCTGGGTTGGTTGTATTTCCACCAGTCGACCACATAATCGCCAGCGTGGTACTGGTTATACAGATCCTGGAGATGTCGTTCGAGGAGGTACAGCGGGACGAATATAACTAGTAGACCGCAGCATAGAAATCGAAGTCCGCATCGCATGATGCAACGGGGCCGGATTCAAGGACCGGAGGTGTTTTCGGACGTCGCAAAATCAAGACAGTCCGTGAACGCAGTGGTGCATGTGTTAGAGCGGAGATCAGGATAGTGATGAATTCATACGAGAAGAAGAAAGAAAACGGAGGTTGTAAAGGTGGGAATCACGGAGAACCATAGAGCGTGGAGGCGAGGGGCCAGAGGGAAGGTGAGGAGGGCGGAAAGGCCAAGGAGTGACGGGACGGGGAGGCAATTAAGAAAGCGGAACAGCCATTGAAAAGCGCGTCAACGGTGGGTAAGTGAGAATAAGGAACGAGGATTGGCACTATTGCGCGTTGGTGAGGCTTAAAAGAGTTAGTTTAAACACTGAGGCGGACAAGGAGAACCCACAAATCGTACTGCCGAGTCTCCACCGCCAGCCGCGCGTTGACGGCTTAGCGGGAATTTGTTAAAGGCCTGCCCCGGCTATAACCAGATTTAACTGGCTTTAGGGGAGGCTTTAACTGGGACGTATGGGCTTTGCCCAGAAACGGGCACTGTCAGGGACATCGTTTTGTCAGGGATCGTTGCTGATCCCGTGGATATCGTGGCAATGCATTGTTTGCTGATAATCCAAACGAAGCAATCGACAACGATCTCTTGGTACCCTTGGTATTTCTGCATTATTTCTTTATCCCGAGACTGTTCTCCGATGCTGACGGCATCGTGAATAAACAGTATCTGATGGAATGACTGGTGTATGATTTTAAAGGTGAAAGTGAAACCGAATTTTGATTTAGAAGGCAAAACGGTTAATATATAATCTATAAACGGCTCCTAGTTCCACTGTGTACGACATTCTGAGTTCCCAATGCTACGGAGTACTCCGTACACGGCACTTCCTCAATTCGGTTGATCAGGTAGCTCCGTGGATCGTACTCAACGTGAAGCAAATATCATCGTTATTATGTTACGAGTTACCATATACAAACATGTATATATGTTTCTCGCGTTGACAACTCGGTGAGGTAGCTGCAACTCCTGACCTAGCCTGCAAAAGTGCTGATACTTTTGCAGTCCACACTGATTTCATCCGAAGGTCCACACATGGGCAGGAATGACAATCTGCTTACAATACAAAAATGCATTGATTTCCATGGTGGTGGAGGCCTAGATGGCGGGTCAATAGCTAATAGAATACCAACATCATCCAGGGAGCTCCATGAACATTTCATTTCCTATGGACGTCCACTGTACAAACAATTTTTTACGGAAACCACCCGGATACGAACAAATATCCTAAATATTTATTGATTGCTCCATTATCTGTCTAGATAGAATAGATAGTCACCTCTCTTTCAACTTGCCAAATACTTATATCCGCAAGCCACTTGCCACCTAGCTACATCGACCGAATCAACCAGTCTGACTGTCATTACAATTTCTGCTGTCAAAAAATCAGAAAAGCAGTACACAGTGCACAAGAGCCACAAAATGGCAAGATAACTTGCAAAAATAAAACATATAGGAAAAAAGGAAAAATCCAAATCAAAGTGAACGAAATGCAAGACCAGTCTCAAGAGTTAAGAGTGAAGATGTGTCAAGTCAAGTTGGCAATGTGTAAATGTATCGATCAACATAGGAAAGAAAACGAAATGAGTCTAATAATTCATGCGGTAGGTTTTCGAAGAAAAAGAATGAATGACAAATGTTGTCGAGAAAGAAACCAGGCACCAAAAAAAAAAAAAAAAGAAAAAGAAAAAGAACGAAGGAAGGCCAATGGATAACGGAGCTTCGAGGATGAAAATCCATCACGATTAAAATAAATAATGCAGTGTAGCGTAGTTTTGAGAGGTAGATCAAGTGCCAGTGCCGGGGGTGATGAGCCCAAGCGATGAAAAGCAAAAGCAGAATAAAACGAAATCGGTCGCAGAACAAGATGCTAATCGCGCTGATGAAGTTGGAAATCCGCTGCAAATCCGCAATGTATCAAGTGCAAGGTGAATGGAAGCGATGATGCATGGACCAAAAGATGCACACACATACACAAAGGAGACTCGTTGAGAAACTTTTCAATACACGGCGCAGTCGCGAACTCGAATCAATGATGCGAGTGGATCCGGTTAGCGCGAGGGCTATATTTACTTGTCCGAGAAAGGGCGCTGACATCGTGTTTTCCTGGGATTATTAGTTTCAATTCACCAATATTGAAAAAGGACGGGACCCACCATCACAGCACGCGCGGACATTCTCAAGACCGTCCGTCTCACGATCTTCCCTCTCAATTGTTTCCCTCAAGTCATCAACGCTCGGATGCTCATGAACATGTTCATGAACACTTCCATCATGAACGCTCGAGCTCGAGTGCCCATGACGCCCCTTACGGCCGAATGACCCCTTAATCGTCGTGTTGAAGATCGTGCTGAGCCGAGAGGAAGAGCCTTGTCGACTTTGGTCCGGAACCAGAAACGGGGAGCTTTGGGAAGGCGCACTCAACGCTGGAGACGCCCGGCCGGGTGTTGTGGCCTGTCGCATCGACATGGCAGATCCTGCCCGTTGCTTAGGGGGAGGGTTGTTGCGTAGAGTGCGGCTTTGCGACGAAGAGAACGACATGCGCTGAGTTTGGCGCGAGCCGGTTCGGAAACCGGGATTAAATTCGTCAATATCTTCCAGCGTGATGCTGTTTTCCGGCTCCTCGCCGTTCTCGTCCGAATTGCGGAGCAATAGATACGACAGCGCGTTGAACCAAGTCTCGTGTCTCTGGCTCGTGGTAGCAGTGAACCTCACACGACGACCAGGGCTGACGACTTCCAAGCTACGGCAATGAAGACCCGGCGGGTAAGGGTTGTCATCGGCCACAACTCGCACAGCTTCAATCGGAACACTCTTCGTACGGAGTTCGCTCTTACCAGCGTGCTGCGGGTCTGACTCACTCCAGTATAAAGTACGTGTGTAAGGGTGGACCCAGAAGTAACGACGGTGTCTGGTACTCGACATCTCGCCAGAGATGTTCTTGCGCGTGTATTTCCACAGGAATTCACCAATCATTGTCTGCGTGATCGCTTGGATCATGCGAGGATCAGTGCCCTCTGCATAACCATGAGGAGGCATAGCACCAATGCCATTGGGGTACATGTTGAAGCGCTCTTCGATCTCCGATGCAAATGAAGAAACGGATGATCTCCGCGATACTTGACCTTGGCTTTCGCGCCTCAACTTCGACCGCGAGGAAGTCGTCCGGGAAGAGCTGGTCTGGGCACCTTGGTCGTTTGGAGTGCGAGGACGCTGGTTGGGGGTACTGTGGTGGCGAAGGGCGGAAGCGGGAGCAAGGGGCGGGCCCATGACATTGGGGGACGCCGGGCGTTGTTCTGACTTCCCGGCAGCCAGGATGGCTTCCCGGTGGTCAGCTGGCAGAGGCGGGTGACTGTGAGTGCTGGAGACGTGACTTGCAGAGCTGTCAGGTCGCCGGGATCCGCTTGGCAAGGACGTTGCCGATGGCCGATGGGTAGGGCGGGTCTTCGCCTTGGGAGTCGCAAAAGGCGAAACTCCCATCTCCTTTGCGCGATCACTGTCAGGAGGCGACAGTGGGCGGGTCGAGACCCGGTCCATGAGGAGCTGATCGATCTGCTTGGACGACAAAATTGTCTGAGCTCCCTGGTCCGCCAAGTTCGACTTCGTTCGTCGGTGAGTGCGCATAGCATTGCCAGAAATGGCGCTCAGTGGCCGTGCTCGCTCGCCGGTGGCCTTAACAGCACTGCCAGGCTTGTCATCCTCAGAAGCCATGACACCAGAAGACACATATCGTGACCCAACTGGTGGCACATTCTCCTCATCGAACATAAGGGGTGCGGCAGCGGCGGTTCCATTTGGCAGGAACTCGATAGGGCTTGTCTCCACAGAACGGATAGTGGAGAAAGACAACTCAGGGATCGCGACCGCGGGGACGTCGCGCTTCGTGGGCATCTCCGGCTCAGTCGACTCGGAGCTAATAGGGGAAACAGCCATTTCAGCGTTGTCATAGTTGGCAGTTGTTTCCTCAATAGGCACTGGCACCGGCACCGGTTCGGGAAGCTTAGCCGAGATCGGCTCGGTTTGTTCCGACATGACGGATGACATCGATAGTGCGGGAAGATCCGTACCTGTACCACGATCCGCAAGGGAAACCGGCGGCTCGGGCTCGGAAAGAGTTGCCAGAACAGGCTCAGTAGCTGCCGAAAAGATTGATGAGAATGCCATTTCCGGCACATAGATCTCAGGCTCAGGCAGTCTTGCGACAATAGGCTCCGTAGATTGGGAGTAGATCGACGACACAAGCATTTCTGGCATTTCTGGTGCAAGTGGTTCGACAGGCTCCGTGGACTGGGAGTGGATCGATGACACCAGCATCTCTGGAACTTCTGGGACAGGTGGCTTGACAGGGTCCGTCGTACCCCCGATGACATATGAAGTGCTCAATTCGGGGAAGGCAGGTGCCACTGGCGCAGTCTCTTGAGTAGCGATCGAAGAGAGCTCCAGTTGAGGAGGCTCGGGAGCGGACACGCTTCTCTCTAATTCACCTGCCTCGGTAGCGGTTTCGTCCGAGGCCTGCACATTCGCCGAAGTTTGTTCGCCGTCTGTATCAAGGGCTCCATGTGTCGCAGAGTTGGCCATGGCTGGAATATCCTTGGACTCTGTCGTCTCGGAATCCGAAGCAGTTGCAGCGCTTCCAAGAGCAGCCCCGCCAACGGCACCAGCAGCGGCCGCAGCCGCAGCAGCAGTACCAGCTCCAACGGCGGTTGGCTCCCACGGGTCGGTCATAACTCCAGAGTCAACCATAGTCGGTTTGGATGGTACATCCAGGACCGCTTCAGATGGCCTCCTCGAGTCGGGAGCAGGGCCCATGCGCGGCGTGGAGGCCTGAGAAGTAGCATCGAAAGAGGTTGATTGCCCAAAGTTGGCATCCACAGTCTCCTCGCTCTCATCACCATCAAGCTCAGCCAACTCCGCAAAGAGACTCTGTCCTTCGGGGGCTGGTTCTTCTTGCACAAAGCTTGTCGCAGGAGAGTTCCGGGCGCTCGAGGGTCGGCTGTTAAAGGCCATAGGTGCCTCACCAGATGGTCGGATTTTCCGTACCACACTTCTCTTCATACGAAGACGGTGTCGAGAGGGAGTGTGGTTTTGAGTGGGCGAGGAGAATCCGGCATCTTCGTCTTCACTGGTCGACGTCGAAGCAGTGCTGTGGTAAGGGGAGCGATCCCGAGTCTTGGCCATCATGAGCGAAGATACACGACCACTACGGTTACGCGGGGTGCGTCGGACCGTCTCTTCCGTCTCGGTGAGTTCCTCAGTATCGGAGCCAGAACTGTCGGCCATGCTCTCAACGCCAGTCTGGAAAGCTTCGCTCTCAGTGGTCGTCTCCCGCTCGTTGGCAGTATCGAATGAATCGTAGGCCTCAGTGGCGGTTTGGTAGTCGCTGGGTTCATCGGACGATCGCTCACTGGGATGGCTGTGAACCGGCCCAGGAGGAGTCTTGTGAGGTGGACTAGAGGTGGTGCTCTTGTCTTCCCAATCAGATTCCTGGACCTCTTCGATTTCGGTCTTGCCCTTTCTTCCAGCACCAAGCAGGTCCGGGCGTGGGGCCTTTCTGAGGGTCTCAGGCTTGGTCTTCTGACGTTTGTTGGAAGGACCTCCGGTTGTGGCGGCTTGACGTTTCTGCTCCACCTCGTCCCGTGCATCTTGGAGCATGCGCTTCAATTCGATCTTTTCGGTCTTCTCACGATGGATGGTGCTCTTGAGGTTCTGGATCATCCGATGAGCGTGACCGAGAGAGCTCCGCAGAGTTTCAGTCTCGAGCTGGTTGTGACGAGGAGTGAACTTGTTCGGGGACGGTGGGGGCGAGTTATCGGGCGTCTCATTGCCTTGGTCATCCGAGTCGTTGTCCTGAGAAACCTGGCGAGTGTTTTCTTCATGTTGTCGCAAACGCATCGCCACAGCTTTGGCAAGCTCTTCGTTCTGCGAATTCAATTCCTCGAGCTTTTGTTGCATGGCAACCCGTTCAGAGTCGCCAGAAGTAAGGTTCCGGCGCAGTTGGTGGACTTCAGCATCGTTGGCTTTCTGGGCCAACATGTGGTCCTCAATGAGTCTCGCGTTGGTCTGTTTGATGTCCTCCAATTCGCGCTCGACCAAGCCCTTATCGTTGGTGAGAGCGCTCAGGTTGCTGTTCAGCTTGGTCTCGCGATCAGCTGCTTCCCGAATTGTGGCCATGAGCTCTTGCGTTCGTGTTTCAAGGGCCCAGTTTTCGTCCTTGTAGCGCTCCTCGCTCTCATCGAGTACGCGAATCCGTTGGGCATAGCCTTCAGCCTCCAGCTCCAGGCGTGATTTCTCCAAGTTGATGGTCTTGAGAGCATCCTCACGCTCCGCGAGCAGAGCCTGCAGCTGTCGAACTTGCGCCAGCAGCGAAGTCGAAATCTCTGTCGCGAACTCGATATCATGGACACGATTGGATGGCTGGTTACGCTGCTTTCGTGAAGGGACACTGACTTTGCTGGGCGAATTTGTACCTTGGTCGGCAAACATGGTGGCAGTGAGCGGCGACTAGAAAAATCAAAGTAAGATCATTGATTAGCAATCCGAGTAGACCTCTCAGCGGGCGCATGGAAAGCAGTCAGTACCTTTGAGTCTGCAGAAGGAGTTCCCAAATGGCCGTCAGCACCCATGCGCTTAGGAGCCAGGAAGGCGCGCGCTGATTCCCGCCCGATTTCATTGTATTCTCTTTCCAAATCCGCGAGCTTGCGGCGCAAGTCCGGCCCAATCTCCCCTTCATCATACTGCTCCACCTCTTTCAACTTGTCCTCGAGCTCCCGTTGCTGTTCGATGAGGGTGGTTCCCAGTTTGGACGCCTCCTCAAGCCTGCGCTCCGTTTCCGCCAGGTGAGCCTCGAGGGCTCGCTTAGCCTGCGCTGGCGACGCAGCATTAAGGCTGTACAGCTGGGTGTCGAAAGATGAATAGCGATGCGATTCGCGAGGACTGGTGCCGTCCGCCGGGTTAGACACAAAAGGGTCATTCATGGCGAAACCACTCCCCGTTGGGGAACCATCCTCCGCACCATTACTGTATAAAGACGTGCTCATCTTCAGACAAGTTCTGTACCGTCAGACGGTCCGTGATCCTCTGCGATTGAGGATTACAGCCGCCGTTGGAGGGGGGAAAAAAGGGTTTCCCGTACAGTCGTCGCCTCGATGCTCGTAGTCGTATTCTTTGTTTCCACTTTTTAAACCACGGTCATCATCCGACCTGTGTCGATTCGCGATCCAAGGGTCCTCGTGTACCGATTTTCCTCCGCGGGTAAAGTTGTAACGAGCCGTCCAGCGACCAGAGGTGGGTGAAATGCGACTGGGGTTGTATATGCGACGGTAAAAACAGGCTTAGAAATAGCTGTGTACCGTCGGGGCGAATCCGGTCCGCTAAAAACAAGGTCGAAGTGGTTGGCGATTTTTTCTGTCGGTGTCGGCCCACGATAAAGACACGGGAAACACCGAGTGGGGAAGTGAAGAAAAAGATCGTAGAAAGAGCGCAAAGTCGCAGCCACGAGGCGGGATAAAATAAGAACGGAAAAACGGAGAACGTAATATAACCTGCAAGTTGGAAGGAGACAAAAGGACGGAGAGAGATCAGTGGTTGACAGGGGCTCTTCCGGTCTGGGGGAGGCGAGATCCACGACAGCAGCGCAACACAAATAACAACGACACAACAGCAAGACACGTTGTGGCCGTAAGGTGGGAGGCAGTGCGTACAGGTCAACCACGGACAATTCAGCGAGGCGGAAGACAGGCGCAGGAATTGGTTGGAAGTCGCAGTGATTTGGCGAGAGCCGAGACGCTTACGAGCTGAATGGAGAATCGGCAAGTAAGGGCAGCGCGTGCGCCATGCAGGTGATAACAGTAGTAGTAGTAGTAGTAGTAGTAGTAGTAGTAGTATTAAACAAGAGTGATAAATGAGTGACAGACAAATGAGAATCGTCGAGTTATTAGAAGAAGAACTAGAGAGAGAAAGGGACAGGTCGAGGTAGCCTGTCCGATTCACGAGACGAGGCGACTCGCTGCGACAGGAGGGGGTGGGAAATTAAAGAATTAAACACAAAAAAGAAATAGAAAAAAAATAGAGAAAGACACACAATAGATAAGAGAAGATGAGAAGATAGATATGAAGAAAAAGAAGAAGAGAGAGTATAGAGTAGAGAGAGGGGGGATGGAGAAGAGAAGACCGAGAGAGGAGAGGAGAGAGGGAGAGAGACAGACGAGGGACGGAAAGAGGATGAGACCAGGGCGCGGGGCCGTGCGGGCAATAGTAGACCAAGGACTCGACTGATACGTGACTATTGTGCATTTACGGGGTAGTAGTTCAGGCACTAGAGTTATGTACGATTGTCACTCATCTGCCTTCGAGAATGGATCTATCATTCTAGTTGAGGTGATCCATATGTTTGTTTGGTTCTGTTCCTGAATACGCGTATGTACCGCCGATACCGTCCCACTGGTTTATTACGCTGTTTGTGCTGTTTGTCTGTCATGTGACTAAAATCATGTGATGCTGATATAATTGCACTTATCGCCACGGCCTCCATTCCCGTACAATTTATCGCTTTTGATCGTCGCGATTGGCAGCCTTGTCAACACAACTTACTTTCCTCACCATGACTGAAGAAACAGCAGCACCAGACGTCCCCCAATTCTCCTTCAAGAAACGCCCCGCCAAGGCCAAGGCCAATTTCAGAAAGAAGCCCGAGTCGCCGCCACCCGCTGCCTCTGATTCCGACTCCGATTTCACCTCAGACGACGACGAAGAGGGTCGCAAGATTAAGCGTCGTCGCAAGAATGTCGCCGTGACAGCATCGTCAGCTACAGATGCGAATGGCCGGAAAGCAGCAGCCACAGACGAGCAACCTACCGGTACCGCCACCGCAACCGTTCCGATCACTCAGACGAACGACGCGACGAAACAGTCCAACTGGTACGATGAGGAGGACCTGAGTGAGAAGAATCTGTTGGGCACAACGCGACCTAAGCCCGGGTCATCAGCAGCTCCGGATGGTACCTACAAAGGTGCGGCGAATTACCAGTCCTTCATTCAGAAGAACCCCAATGCGCCAAACAAGCAATTCGGTCCCATCAAAGCCCCTACGAACATCCGCACAATCACCGTGATGGACTTTGCGCCCGACGTCTGCAAGGATTGGAAACAGACTGGCTTCTGCGGTTTCGGCGACTCGTGCAAATTCCTGCACGCCCGCGAAGACTACAAACAAGGCTGGGAACTAGACCGCGACTGGGAAATCGGTACAAAGGGCAAACAGCTAGGTGGCAAGGTGGTATCGGCGCGGAAAGGCGGGGCAGCGCAAGATAACGAAGAGGACGACGAAGACGAGGATGAGTTTCTTGAAAGTATTCCGTTTGCGTGTATTATCTGCCGGAAACCATATAGTAACCCCATTGTCACCAAGTGCGGGCATTATTTCTGCGAATCGTGTGCGTTGCAGCGTTACCGCAAGAATCCATCTTGTGCGGCTTGCGGTGCGGGGACGGGCGGTGTGTTTAATACGGCCAAGAAACTGAGCCAGTTGCTTGATAAAAAGCGGGAACGCGCTCGCAGGCAACGTGAGCAGGCTATCGCGGCTGGAGAGGAGGTGAGCAGCGAAGAGGAGGACGAGGCGGAGGACTCGTGATGGTTAGAGTTGTCAACGCGAGGGATATGTATGCATGTTTGTATAGGATAACTAATGGACGATTTGCAGCTGGCTGCAGATATATACATTGTTCTATTTCAATATATGCAAGAGATAATCCGTACGGTGTACAAATAACTTGTATGCAGTTTGTACTTTTCATGTTCTGATGAATATCTTCCTAAATACCTCCATAAAACCGGATAGCGCTATATCTACGACACTTCAACGTGACCAAAAGCTCTGGAATTGTCCATAAGATGTTTCAAGACCATCGAGAAGAGTCGACTTGATTTGCATGGTGTACCCCTCATGGCCTCATTAGACCTCCAGTAGCTACTAGCTGAGAGGACAAAGGCATGACTGGCGCTTTCATCAGACAAACCGGTGATGAGGCTAAACCTCATGTATGCGGCTTGAGTTGGATGAGATGGCATTGGTATCGTTCTCCAATTGTTCGTCATGGTGAATCAAATAACAGCTCATCTGTTGGTGAGTGTGTGGCGCGGCCTTCCTCTCTGTACGCTTCTTCGCCACGCATTTGTTGGAATCTTGAATGGAATCTCAGTCCACCATGCTTATAGGATTCCATAAAATCAGAAGTTTCATGACCCCCTTCCCAGAGATCATTAGCCGCCTGTTTCAATTAGTTTGAGATGGCGACACTCAACTCGAAATGGGACATGTTAGTTTGTTTCCCGTTACACGAGGCTCCTTCGTAGTCAGCGTGTGAATTAATCACATTGTGTTATACGTAGGTTGCAATATGCCCAAACATGCGACTGCATGATCCAACCTTTTCTTGTGCATATTCACCATACGACGCCTGTTCTTCTACCTTGGATTCAACATCTCGGAGGTGTTTCGGGCTGTGGCTCTCTCGTGCATCGCCCATCAGGATGTCATCTGAGTCTGCGTTGATCATGTCCCAGGCTTCAGAGTAACCCGCCAGGATACAGGCCCGTGCAACGTTGGGCTTCATAGACGGGACTCGCATTGATTGCTTTTTCTATGTATCATGGTGGATTCGGCTGGGGCGACCGCCACTTTGCAAACATGGTGTTGTGATAGATGCCTCGGACGACGCAGCGCTGCTCTGTAATTGCCCAGTTGTGCAAGTGAAGCCGGTGGAGGCTAGAGTATCAATCGATGTTGCCATGATCCCTTCTTAGTCGAAAAAATCCAATCATCGAGACTCCCCTGAGTCATCAGGGTCTAACGGTCTCCTAAATGCAGTATTTTCTCCATATACGACCGCATAGCCATGTCCCTGTTTAAACCTTTTCTCAGCGACTTGTCGAGCACTGTCCGCGTGTAATAGTCCATGGCATTATACCGCACCTCAGGCTCTGTGATAGCCTCTACTTCCTGGACTCAACGATGACTCTTACGTCCGCGCTAGTTATGCACCAGAACGTCGCCCTGGGAACATCATAGTTGATGAAAAGGGTGGAAAGATGAGGCCCTGAAGAGAGCTAGTAGAACCGGTCACTCGAAAGGGTAGAGGAGATTCAAGAGCTCACTCAGGGCAGATCTTATCGGCATTATCTCGGATCGGCGACATATCGGAGACTTTCCCGCTGATCCCTGCTGGCTTTATTTAAGCCTGATCATATCTTCACGGCATTTAATCCATACACAACAGCCCTTTAAATAAACATAGACAATTACATATCATTCACATTGAAAGCCGAAATGTCTACACCGTCCACAAAAGACCGCATCCTATCGCTCGTCGAACCAGCTGTGATTCTTAGCATGGCTGTAAAGGGTACTTTCTTTTTCTTCCCAATAAAACGAACCAAATACAATGCTAACACAGAAAAGCCTACATCCGCGTCCTCCTCGAATCCATCACCAACGGCCAAGGATTAACCATCTTTACCCACCCCCAAATCCTCCGCGACGAAGGATTCAGTCGCTTTTGGTTGGGATTTAGCTGTACCCCTCCCCTATCAACCCCCTCTGCAGAAAGCACACAGGAGTACTGATGGAAATAGCAACCCCAACGCGATCAAACCCAGCCCAACTAGAAGGTTCCGCAGCTCTAATCCCACCACTCCTCGCCCGCCTCTCGGGAACAGTATTAGACGTTGGTCCCGGCACAGGGGCGCAGATGCCGTATCTAGCTGCGCGCCGGGAGTATGTAAAGGGTATTTATGGTGCGGAGCCGTGTAAGGGACTACATAAAGATTTATCTGCGAGAGTGTCAAAGGAGGGGTTAGATGGGAAGTATCGTGTTCTGGGGTGTGGGGTTTCGGTGGAGGAACTTGTGCCGGAGTTGCGGAGGGAGGGGCTGATTTCGGATGAGGGTACGGATAGTGTTGAGCAGTCGATGCAACTGGTTAAAGAAGAAGGTGGTATATTTGACACGATAATCTGCATCCGCGTTCTCTGCTCCGTGCCTGATCTAGAGCAGCGCGCGAAAGAACTCTATACACTGCTCAAACCCGGCGGACAGCTACTCGTCGCGGAGCACGTGGTTAACCCCTGGCGGACGCCGAAGGGCTCGTTCATCGCGAGATTGGCGCAGGGACTGTATGAGTTGCTGGGGTGGCAGTGGTTTATGGGGGATTGTTGTATGGTTCGGGACACAGAGAGGGCGTTGAGAAGGGCTGCTGAGGGAGATGGGGGGTGGGGGGATGTGGATGTTGAGAGGTCGTTTGGGTGGTCGGCTTTGCCCTATATCTCGGGGGTTTGGGTTAAGAAATAGTCCGCGACTCTTGGTAGGAGTGTGATGATGGAACGTGTATGATGAGGATATGTGGAACATTGGATCATCGTATCATTATCATTAAGGAGTATAAGCATATAGTACAGTACCATACAAGAATACATCAAACAGGTTTCGCCCTCCCCGGCGGCCAGAAATTAAACAGATCCAACGCCTCAACCGTCCATGGTCCTTGTTCTTGGATTTGATCCTGTGCCTTCTCTTCTTCGTCTGAGTCCTCTTCTACGAGCAGATCGAGCGTGCTCGAGGGTAATTGGCGCGACTGGATGCTATTGACAGTGCGAAAGGCAGAGGGATCTGAATAGGATTTCTGAAAACCACGCGATAATTGTTTGGCCGGAGCTGGTGGGATGCCCTGGGAGCGTGCAGTGTGGTTGACTACAGCAGGGGGGATTTCCGGACATGGATCTGGTGGAGCTGGTCGTGGGGGTTTGTTGGTAAGAGAGGCTGGTTTGGTTGCTTGGTTCGAAGAAGCCTCTTTAATAGCGTTGGTTTTTTTGACATCCGATTCAAATGGCGAGTCTTCTATCATCTCAGCCAGAACGTCAAGAGTGGAATCGTCCGATGTCATTTGCACATCAGTGGAGACGGGATCCGGAGCCACGGGTTTCAGTGCCTCCCTAAATAGGTTAGTTCCATCCTTGCGGGTATCCGCACTGTCACATACTAACTGTGGCTCTCTTTGCTCCGACAGAGGGCTTGCTCTGTTCGATCCCATTTCCGACACGTTGGTTTGACTGGGTAACAGCGCACGGTACACTAACTTTCTACGCGGCTTTTCCCTAGACAGCTGGAGCGTATTCCGGGGAGTTGATGACGAACTGCTGGAGAACGAGGAGTGCATGGAGGGTTGTGCATTTTCAGATAGCTTTTGTGGTATCTGCTCTGGGTTTTCTCTGGTACCTTGGGTCGGGGTCGGTGTAGGTATAGGTCGAGCGGGAGGCGGTGGAGGATTCTTTCGAGGTTGTACTGTGGTTGGAGCAGGAATAGGTCGAACAGGGGCTGGCGGTTGTGGTTCTTCTGGTACTTTTATCGTCCGTGCTTGTGTAATTGGTGGGGTAGGTGTAGGTCGATTGGGAGCTGCAGACGGTGGATACAGAGGTTGTGCGCGTCTAGGTCGTGGAGTCGGTTCTTTGGCCGGCGCCCGGGCGGAGGACGGTTCAGACAGATCGATCACAGGCGGGCGCTGTGGAGGATGCGAAGGAACTGTTCTTTGTCGTTTCGCGGGCCTGGTCTCTGGTATTTCAACCAACTGTGGTGGGGGACGTTCGGACGGCGCTCTGAACCGTTCAATCGGAGTCCGCCTAATCCCCAGAAGATCGTTCAAAGACCGCGATGACTGCGAGGATGGCTGCGACGATCGCACTGGAAAGTTCCTCGTTTGTGACCGCGACGGCTGCGACGGAGAAGTCTGACTGGCCTTCCTCCTCTCAAACAAGGGCGACAGATCCGTCTCAGTTTTTTCCATGGATTCCCCGACCTGAATCAACACGCCTCCGTCCAACCCCAACTCGTCCCCATCCTGAATCATCTCCTCCTGTCGCCAATGTAGATCACCGACGAAATTTCCCTGGTCATCGAAGACCATAACACGTTTGTTGAAGGTGTGGTAGCGAACGAAGCCATCTTGCCAGCGTTTGGCCTTGCGACGGAGATCATGCGTGAACAAGCATCGAAATTTCAGGACCTGCGCGGTGGATTGGGTTAAAGGCACGGTCAAGCTGGGAGAACTGGAGACCATGATGGCATGACAGCTGTAGAGTGCACCATGGGGACGAGTTGGAGAGCGTGTAGCGATAGACGTTGTCGTTGTGGCGGCCGCGGAGAAGACGCGGAATTAAGGATTGAGGCTCTCCGGCGGAACCATGGAAGCTTTTACTTATAATTAAAAGCATATATGCTTATCTTATGTGCATAATTATGTGTATTTTTAGACACTAGCGAACCAGGAACGTGGTTGCAGGTGACCTGAGGTCAACTTTTCCCTCGTGCGGGACAAACTTGCTTATATAACAGTCTTGGCAATCATGTGATCAACAAAAGAGCTTTACAAACTTTCCTCCCGCATCATCTGTGTCAGACAGATTACCAACTACTTGTAAAGTAACTACCATACCACCACCACACCACTCTACATAGCTGCTCTGTCGCTGCTCTATTCAAAAAGAAAAAGTTATTACTTTTTAAGCAATTAATAAGCTATAGGTTTATCAAGATCCAATTTATTAGTTCAGAAATAGTATAAGTTAGTGCCTCTGTAACATTTGTAAGTTACCTTTGGTCCAAAATATATTTCTGCATGATACATTAACTATAGAGAGTTACGCAACTTTTCTATTAAAGTATTTACCAAGTACTTGTAAACTGCTTATAAACCAGTTAACTCATGTTCCTGTATCCGCATTCTTCTCTCCATAAGATCAAGTTCCAACTTCTCATTTTGAAGCTGTTGCAGGCGAATATCCTCCTCTTGCTTTTTGAGATTAGCTTTCTTTTGTTGAAGTTCTATTTCAAGATTCTCTAGCTCAATCACTTGACGTCTCTGTTCAAGATTTAAGACATTTGTTGAAATGGCACGTCGAAGATTACTCGATCTTATTGACCTAATTCATTTGGTAAGTAATTGTGAACTACTTTATAGCTACTTGTGAAGCACTTGTCGGGACTTACTCATTATCACCATTTTTTGAGGAGTTTTGTGACCTTGACCTTGTATTTCCTTGCGGTAAGGGTGAAGCTGATTCAATTTCAGATGAAGTAGATAAGGCAGACCTTCGGCGCTTTCGGCTCCCTAAAAGTCAAGGTAGTTAACAAGCAGTTAACAAGTGCTGGTGAAGTAGTTCTCTAATACATACTTTCCCGACTCATATGCCGAAGGTAGTTAGCTTCCATATTAGAAGTTCGGTATGAATGGTGAATATTGAAGTCCTGAAAGTTATTGTACTGCACAATATCATCCCTATCTAGCTTCGCAGAACTAGGGTATATTAGTACTTTTCTTAAACAGTTGACAAGCGGTTGGTAGGTGCTTAAAGAACTTACTTCTTAACTGCCTGTACCAAAGTTAAATACTTTCCAGATGCATATGATTTCTGATGGGACTGCTCAACAGCATTTGTATGATTTCGCAGTATATCAAAGTAATGAGGTTGAATTTTAGAGCATGCTTTATTTAACCCGGCTTTGATTACTTTGCCTTTCTTTTGAACTGCCCAATTCTGGACATTAGCACTCTCATACACTGAAGCAGTCAGTAACTAATTGTCAAGCGGTCAACAGGTGGTTATATACTTATCAGAAGATCTAATAATTTATCATAATCATCCTCTGATCTGCAGTCTAAAAGACTCATCATGCGGCTCCAAAGGGGAGAGCCTTGGTTATTAGTTCCAATAGCTTTCAAGATTGACCGTTGGAAATGAACCCTGCAGAAGACAATAATATGCTGTAAATGCCATGTTATGTCTTGGTGTTGAGGATCAATCTCAGAGAGATATTGACCAAGTCCTAAGTAGTTAGTATATGTTTTCCAAGTAGTTAATAAGTACTTACCAGTATATTGTTTTGAATCCATATCAACAATAATACCATGGATTCCGGACCCATGGATGGAATCAAAAAGAACTGGTCGGGAAGAGACCCTCTGGACTAGGTCAAAAACTCGCTTGAAAAGTAAATAATACCCCTCAGTAGAATCAGTACTGGTAAAGACTCGCAGTAAAGTAATAACTAGTGACTGGGTGGTTAGTAACTGCTCACTTAGTAGTTAGGGATTAATACTTTTGCATTGGTCTGGCAGGAATGTAGCAAAAAGCACCTCATTAATATCTTTTGACCGTATTCGTTTATAAGACATATCAACCTCAAAAGATGAGAGAAGTGAAAGAAGTTGGATTTGCTCTTTAAAAGCACATAGAACCATGATACCCTGGGAATCATGATAATATTCTTGGATATAATCCTAAGAGCTTGTTTAGTACTTGTCAGCTGCTTTGCAAGTGCTTCTGAAGTGCTTACCTTCAAATGCTGGTCAGTATTTTGAAGGAAAATCAGGCCATTGATATCCTGTCCATTAGGATAAGAAATAAGACGCTGCTTTTGAATTATTGCTGCAATTCGATCCTTATTACAAAAGCTAGAGTGAATCTCTGCTAATGTAGATGCATTATACTGCCGACAGAATTCTTCAAGTTGTGGATTTCGAAGAAATTGAGCTATGTAACTGGTTATCAACTACTCCACAAGTGGTTGAATAGTACTTACCTGTTGTTAAATTAGGGTCCTGAATTTGTTCAATAATTCTTTTCACACCCTCTAGAATCCTTTCAGGTGCCTTGCTTGGTGGTGGTGGTGGATGTTTATGAACCCCATGTGATGTAAATATTATATATGGGCATTGCTCTATATCTGTAGGTACTAGAGCATTGAAGATAATATCACAAGGAGTATGCTTCAACTGACCAGACCCCTGAGGATGATCTCGATCTAATAATTTCTTAGTAACTGGATATAGAGTGGTTAAGAAGTATTTACCACAGTACTTTCGGCGGCTTGATAGAGGTTCAAAAACACCACATTCTTCAGTAGCTGGCAAGATCTCTTTATTAAAAAGATCCTCAAGAAACTGCAAGTCTATGGCTGTATGTCCTTGAATTTGCCCCATATGATGTTTAGTTAAACCTCCATATGATCCATTTATACAGCCAATGAATGGCGCGTATTCTCCATGAACATCCTAAAGTAGTTAACAATCACTCACTAACTGCCTGAGAAGCAATTATCATTTATCACATACCATCTGATTATATCTTTTAAAAACTGCTTTGCAGGTTGGAAGTTGATCAACACACGCAAGGCCTTTCCTAAAGAAAGAAGCCTTTGACCGATAATAACTAAGGCTGGATAAGTACTTGATAACTAGTTAACAAGTAGTTAGAGTACCTATATGCATTGCGCTTTCTGATATCAGACTCTAAGATCTGGACATCTTTCTGAGACTTTTGAATTTCTTGCCAAGTACCTTCATCAACAGATGAATGATGATAGGACCGGAGAAATGGGCTCAGGAATTCACATGCATAAATCCCAGAGCATTTCCATGTCCATTTCTTAACTTGACATCCAAGAAATGGGCAGTAAACAGGTCGTTTTCGTCCGAAAGGCTGTCGTTTTGCATATTGAATCTAGAAGTACTTAGTATCTAGCTATCAAGTACTTGTCAAGTACTTACAGTATCAGGAAGATGATCCATTTCAACCTGTGTTCGTCCTTTGGAAGCAATAACATATGTATAACCATATATATGAGTTGTGGGATACTCTGGAAGGTCATCAATATACTCAAGATTCAATGTTGTAAGACCAGAGCCTTTAGCTCTTGTAAGTGGAATAAGCATATCTGGTTCCTTTATTTAACTGGTTAGCAAGCAGTTGACAGCTGATTCACAGGCAATCAAATAATTTTACCTTGATTTCAAGGGAGATATCAGCACTTGGCTCAACAAAATTATTATTGATATCAAATGAAGGCCCCTGGGAGTCCTGAGGGTTGAGAGAGTCCATTATTGCAACTGCTTGGTAACTGATCCTCAATTGCGTGGATATTCTTCGAATACTTAGAATTAAGAACGGAAATTGAATTTCATGTAAAGTTCAGTATTTAATTATCTCGTGCGGGATAAATCAACTTAATAAGAGCCTTGGCGCTCACGTGCGGGGGGTCTAGGCCGCATGAGCTCACCGCTTGGCTCATGCGACCTGTGTACACACCAGGAACACGACCAATGAATTCATGGACGCTGACTGTACCTGACACTTAACCATGGTCAAGCCTATAAACATGCAATCAATCCGCGGCGGGGGAAAATTTTCCGAATGAAACAAACTAATCGCAGCGACACGAATCCTTCGAGTTGAAATGTCGGCCAGCCCCTGCAAATAGCGGGAATACGAGGTACAGCCCCTCTAAGTCGAACATCTCATAGGAGAATGGACGTTGGATATCTGCAAATGGAACAAACACTCGACAAGGCAAGGATAGTCATTGCACGAGGCTGAAGGCGCAAGGCTGAAACCCTTTTCGCTGATTTCATCCCCTCATCTCATCTCATATTTCTCCCTCGCTCTATATTTTGTCCATATTTTCCCAGCATAAGAGAGGTGTTTCTCTGTTTCTCTGTTTCTTTCACCAAATCTCTTGCAGTTAAGTGGTCTATTGACCTCTTTGACTCATCCCGCAACCCCTCCCTCTGGGGTCCTCGTCAAGATGAACCGCTTAAACAGGCAGTTCATGAAGCTCAGGAAGAGGTCAGCCGATGAGAACGACGTCGGAATCCTTCTTCATGATTTCAGCGAAGCTGACAGCCTGCTGTCCAAGGTATGCAACTCCTTTACTGGCAATAGCCGATAAAACTGGTGCCTGGTGCCGGGTGTCTAGATTTCCTGGATGCTAATTCAGGATATTAGTTGATTGAGGACACCTCTGCTTGGCGCGATGGCTGGTCGGCTATTCTTAACCACCAGGAGCGTGTCGTCGGCGAATTCAAGTCGCTGTATGCTCCCATCCCCGGGAATACCTCAGGCTTGCAAACCTCCACTACCCCGGATGATGTGACGTCACGGACCACCAAGCTCCACGACGACTATGTGCAGCTACGCCAGGACTTGCTGGCAGAGCTCAATTCTGTGGATGATTCCATGATTATGCCTGCACGAGCGGCCAAGGATTTTGTCATACCCATGAAGAAGACTATCAAGCAGCGTCAGGATCGCAAGGTATGTCCCGCGCCCTATACGAGGTATGATCAGGCTAACGAGAACAGCTGGACTTCGAACACTACCAAGGGAAATATGACGGCTACGCGAAGAAGCCCAAGCGATCGGACCGGGACAATGCAAACCTGGCGAAAACAGAGCAAGAGCTGGCCAACGCCCGAGACGTACTTCCCCCAGCTTCCCAGAGCAACGGATCCATACTGACTACCCCAGATGTACAACCGCGCTGACGACACCCTCCGCGAACGTCTCCCTCGAATCCTCGAAGCCATCTACTCCCTCCTTCCGCCCATCCTAGCCGTTCAGATCCGTCTTCAAAACACCATGTTAGCAAACTACTACACCGTCCTGCACACCTTCGCAGAGGACTACCAATTCACATCCCCCTCACCACCAATGGATCAGGTCCTCCTCGAGTGGGAAGAAGCGCACCTCCCCGTCCGCAGAGAAATCGAAGACTTCCGCTGCCTCATCAATGGGAAAGCCCGACAAGGCAGCACCGCTCCCACCAACCAAAACAGCCCACCAAGCCCGCCTGCCCTCCGCGCACCCCCACCCGACAACGACAGCACCCGTCCCGCAAGCCCAGCAAGCAGCTACACACAGACAATCTTCAGCCAGCCCCGCAACAGTATAGACACAACATACACTATTCCCGAATCTCCAGAAACAGGCCTCAAATCGTCCTCTGGCTACAGCAGTACCCAACCCCGTCGTCCATCCCGCAACCCCTCAACATCCACAATACCAACCTTCAACACACCAGACTACGGCAGCAACTCTCCACCAAAAACCCTCGCCCCAAAACCCTCCTCGTCAAGTCTCTCCACGACATCATTCTACACAGCCCAAACCTCCCTCTCACCCGCCCTCCCAGCAAGCACAACGCCAATGGGCTCGGGCTACAAGCCCGCGGGACCAAGCCCGGATTACTTCACTCGTCAAGCCGCTTCAAAACCAACAGCCCTCAAACCAACACTCACAACTACGTCCACCAAACCCCAAGCACCAGTCTGCAATAATTCAATCGACCAACGCATCTCTTCGCTCGGCGCTGCGGCGGCAGCAGCTGCAGTGAAGAAACGGCCTCCTCCGCCACCGAAACCGAAGGTCCATTTGGTGACTGCGTTGTATGATTTCCAGGGACAGAGTGAGGACGATCTTGTGTTTTATGAGGGTGATAAAATTCGAGTCATTGAGAAGACGGGTAGTTCGAATGATTGGTGGCAGGGAGAATTGAGGGGGATGAAGGGATATTTTCCGGCGAATTATGTGGAGTGAGTGGTTAGAGAATGGGGTTAGTTTTGATTCTGATACCTGTTTACTGGTAATATACTACGGGTCTACCCCTGTAATGGATTGGCGTTATTGGAATGAGATTTTCTGTGCACTCAATGCTAGACTGATGCGATACCTTGTCCACCTTTCTATACCTCAACACCATTGTTAGACAACTAATAAAATACATGCATTTGATACTACCTAACAGACTAAGCGCACTCATACTATACCAACCCAAGAGAATGACCAACACAAAACAAAAGAATAGACATACAGTTACAGATACCCAGAATGACAAACTCTCGAAACTCTCAACTCAAATAAACGCCCCCGTACTATCATCGCCCGGCATCTCTATTTCAATCGGTCGCCGGCGACTGTCCAAAAAGCTATCGACCATTTTCTTGGAGGAGATAGGGGAATGATTTTCGTCTGTCACCGGTCCGTAACCTCGTTGGTCACGAATGGATCGGAAGGGTACTGATTTGGCATCGCGACCCATCGGTACCCGGGAAGTCTGGTAACGACGATACTGCCTTGTGGCCATTTTCTGCGGTGATTCTGTCGTGTTTCTTTTCGGAGTGGGAGACTCGGGGGTCTGGTGTCGGCTACTGGCCCTTAACGACAGCGAGGATCCACGTTCCAGATCTCTGTGGTCCGCAGCATAGTGATTCTGGGGTTTTGTTACACTGCGGACACTTGAAGATCGACTAAACGGCCGAGAGAAATTGTTTGTTGCAGGAGCGTTCATGTTGATCGAGAACTCGCCAGTGTCGCTAAGGTTAATGGTAGGATTGAATCGTTTCACCGTGTCGCTGCCGCTACCCATACCCGATGTGAGAGTATTGATTTCATCGGTTTCACCATCGTCGTGAATCTGTGCGTCCTCCCGGTAGTGTTCTCGCGTTGGGGTATGTTCGATCCTCGCAATCTGCGAGTTCATCCACGTCTGCCAGTCAGCACTCGGCTGCACGGTTGCAGTAGATCCAGAACGAGATGCGCGTTTTGGAGATCTGTACACGGTTCTTTGACTCTCGTATACCATCGCCATTCCTGGTTCCTCTTTTGCTTCGACAACACGGCCAGCGGCCTGGTCGTTCCTTGTAGGTGAGTCTCCACTCGTCGTGCGGGAATATATACTAGGAGAGTCTGCACCGACGTTCTTTGACCGATCGACAATAACGCTTCCAGAGCCGTCGGAATCTTCTCCAGCCTCATAGAGAGAGCCCAGAGGCTGCCTGTGCACGCTCGAAGTGTCTTCAGGTCGATCATATTCCTTGCTGTGAGAGTATCTCGATCCATATTGGACATGACGCTTGGGTTGGCGTGGCCTCTGTCGCTGAGGAGTGATTGCACCACCATTGGCCGTGGCAAATGACAACGGAGAATGCATTGATTCGTCGCTAGGAATCTGGCGAATGGTCTGCTTGCTATGGCATTTGCGGAGGGACGAAGTGCGCTCTGGAACTGGACGATGTTCCTTCACACGGCCAAGCACGATCTGTTCGTCAGGGTCTTCCGCCTGGGTTCTGCCAATGTGTTTCATTAATGCAGAGTACAATCGCTGACCTTCGACAGATGTGTTGGGTCTGGGAGAACCCGCTCGAGACGTGCCACCGGGGGTCGGAGTCCCGTTCTCGTCAATGATCGACAATGGATGCATGTCGCCAGCCCTCTTAGTCGTGACAGTGTTCGGAACGGTCGAGTCAGCCCAGCTGGTAACACGCGATCGAGACGTGGCAAGACTTTCAGAGCTGTGGCTACTACGCAGAGTAGGTGGCCGGGCAGGACTGACAAATCTTTCCTCGGGACTGTCAAAGTAAGAAAAGTCGCTGTCACGTACGTATTCTTGGTTGGCGCTTGACGGAGTCGAAGAAGGCGGATAGCCCCATTGATTTTGAACAACAGGTGATTCTGGTGCCGGACTTGGCTCCTCAGCAGGCTTCGACAGTCCTAAAACACGCTTCAATCCTTTTTTGATGGACGAAGAAAGGGACCGTGCCTTGCCGTGGACAGCGCCGTCGTTCTTAGACAGTTCGCTCACTGGCGTACCGTTGGTTTCGGTGAAAGGCTCACTAGGGGCACGGAAACTCTTTCTAAATGGCTTCTGCTCTTTCCTAGGCCTCAGCGTGGTCAAAGACGGCTTGCGGTCCTGAGCGAACTGCGTTCGGGCCAATTGAATCGCAACATCTTGACTCTTCGCATGTCGAATTGATCGAGTCCGCTGGCTCCCGCCCTTCAGAAATGACATCGAGCGTCGCAGCGTACCGTAAGGACGAGCAGTGTCCGTCGAACCTTCCTGACTAGCAACCGGACTGCTGTATCGCTCCGAAGAAATCCCACCATAAGGCAACTGAGACGCTCGCTGCCTTGTAGAGAACATTGATTTGGCCTTCCTCAGCTTCCGATACGATGACGGCTGACTTGCCATGCGTCCATCAAGTCCCCCAAATTCATTGATTGGCGGCAGAGCGGCGGGGTAGGTATCCTGGTTCTCCATATAGCATCCCATCGATAGTTGCAGCGAGGACTCGTCCATCGAAGGTGCAGTCTCCGTTGGTCGACGTCGTGAAGGAACAGCCACGTTCTCAGGACCACCCAATTTATCGTAAGAGCGTCTGTGGTCCATCGACGACCGATCATGGGAGCGGCGCATGGCTTGAGTAGCGGCTGCCATGGCCTGGGATCTGGCGAGGCTGGGATCGAAGGGCTCTGAGGTGAAAGAAGGTTGGTGGATTCTGCGGATGGAACGGGTGGATTTTGTTCTCCTCAATCGGTCTCTGGCGCTGAGAGATGAAGAGGGAATCATATTGCCAAAGTTATGCAAATGGATAGAATGAAAGCAGTATGATTGATGAAGTTGATGGAAGTAATGTCATGGAGATTAAGAGCAATTGGTATGTTGATACGGAAGGGACTGTCGGGAACTTACGAAATAGGCAGGGACGATGGACGTTGATGGTTAGGGCAAGTGCGTTCTGCCACGGCGTGACACCGCCCATCCTAGAAAACAAAGAGATATTGTCAAATTCCAGGCATTGCGCTCTTCAATTGATTGTTTGACGATGGGATCCACTGTTTTGATATTTGTTTGTTTCGTCCATCAATTACTGCGCACAGCATATCATCATCGATAATTTTGCAATTATGCCTTCATCAGCAGAACCAGTACCAGCGGATCCGCCAAATCAGACCGCCCAAACTTTAGTGAGTTCACAATGCGATAAGCGAGAATTTAGATATACAAATGACCAGCAATATCCAAAGATCGCACCTCTATCATTCTCGGTCGCAAACACCAAACGTCGTCATGATGTCTTCACGAGCACATCTCCAGTCGCGAATGCCAAACCACTCTACAGCTATACCTATTCCATGCCCCCGACCATGAATACAGAGCCACTCAATGCGGAAGCCTCCTGCAAGCCAATAGTTAAGAGCCGCCACATCTACATAAACGGCAACACCCACGAGGGTGGTGGCCAGGTCATCCGCAATGCTGTTACCCTGGCAGCCCTAACTTCCCATCCTCTCACGATTCACTCGATTCGCGCCAGCCGTCCTGGAAGAAAAGGGCTCAGAGACGCACATGTCGCCGCCATCAAGTCTCTTGCAGAAGTCAGCAACAGCATCGTCGAGGGCGCGGAAATCTGGTCGATGAGGGTTACCTTCATCCCGCCTGACAAGATCGACGGTGCAGCAGTGAAGAAAGTCTATAGCGGACATACAACGCCAGGGTCAGTGTTTTTGACGTTCCAGGCGTTGTATCCGTATCTACTCCATGCAGGGACGCTTTCAGGGGACAAAGAGCCCATTTGTGTGGAGCTCCAGGGAGGTACGAATATACACTATTCGCCAACATTTGATTCCATCTCGCAAGTGTTTATCCCAAATCTGGAGACCCTAGGCTTTCCAAAGTTGGATATTGAGTTGCATGAACGTAATTGGAACACAGGAACAATCAAATTAGGGTCTGTGAGGTTCTTTGTCTATCCCCTGCCATCCAGTACAGGCCCTAATGGAGGAATAAAGTGCCACTTGCCGAAAATTAACCTGGATCAACATCGAAGGGGAAAAATTACGAAGATCGATGTGACTATTCTCGCACCAGATAACGACATATCTTGGGAGACTCGTGGCACAACAGACAAGGAAGATAAATTCACGGTCCGCAAATTTCTGGAACAGGGAGTCATTGCAGAGCTCCGCAACAGGCTACATAGATTATCGTTACCGTCGTGTGTAATCGACCAAGACGTCCCCATTGGCATCCACACCTCCGAGTCCACTCAGTATCACACGCATATCTATATACTCATTGTGGGCCATACGTCAACCGGGTTCCGTATATCACGGGATGAGCTCTTTGAAGGGGACCTAAACTACCTTGTAAATGCATGCAGCGATGTATACAACTGCCTTCTCGCTCAAGCAGTGGGCGATGCATGTGTCAGACAGTTTATCAGAGAACTATACGACCGAAACCTAGAAGAGTTTAGCCGTCGAGAAGGAAGGCACCAGCCATGTGTGGGCCGCGCCATGCGTGATCAATTGGTTATTTTTGAAGAGCTGGAAGAGTTATATTTTCCTCAAGGGAGCAGGAAGGAGGACATGAGCGAGTACGGCAGGGGCCAGGAGAATAAGGAAAAAAATGTCAACGAGGGAGAAGAAGGTAAGAACAGAAACGAGGACCAACAACGCAACCACGAGGATGATGAAGGAAGTCTAGAGAGCAAAGAAGAGCCTAAAAATGACGGAGGACAAGAGGGTGGCTACGGGGATAAGGAGGACCGGCAAGAGAGCAGGGAAGAACCCAAGAGCCAGGAGGGACAAGACAGCACTGAGGACGACCGATACTGGAGCGGCCACACAACAAGTGCGCGGCGAGTCTGCCAGGAGATTCTTGCTAGATGCATCTTCAGCAACCAGTCACTTTGATGTATAGACCAATGCCCGAATATCTCCAAGGGGTTTTCTTACAGTTACATTCGTTTTAGCCTGACGTAACAGTGCTTAGCTTTACTCCATCTTTTTGTTTCTTTTTACACTGTTTTATTATATAGCGACCATTGATAATACCCACGGCGTGTTCCGTATATACAGGTTGAAGCCTATGCATACATCCTGCTAGTATGGATGCATTCCTTTGTGCCTATAGCTATTCCATACAGGAATCAGTAGCGACAACTTGTTCTAACGAAGGTGCCTTCACGCTCATCGAATCTCGAATTTATAAAGCATGAAACTATGATAAAGTTCCGCGAGAAGCGCCAAATCGCAGACTCCTGGTGCGAGGGAGTGGAATTGAAAGTGAATTATTGATTTATGATGGGTGCTTATTAGAAATGGACGATATGATTTGACATCACCACCAGTTGGAAAACAGGCATCAGCCAACAAAAGAAGCATAAAGTAACGAGAAGCAGTGAGTCAGTAATTTCCGACAATAGTCAAGGCATCACAGCAGGCAGACGCCCATTTGCACACGCTGAACATGCCCGACACCACCCTTTCTAATCCACATCTACCTGCCCAGTACCCAGCTCACCAAAATGCCATTCTCAGTCAAAGAAATGCCCCTCTTAATTGACGGCAGCCACCTAAAGGCTGGTGGCCAAGTCCTCCGCAACGCCATCACCCTCTCAGCCCTAACCTCGCGTCCCATCAAAATCCACTCCGTCCGTAAAAACCGTCCTGACAGCCAGGGCCTCAAGACCTCACACGTCCAGACTATCGAATGCCTCGCGCAGATGAGCAATAGCTTAGTCCAGGGTACAAGCCGTGGATCAATGAGTTTCTCATTCTATCCGCCAGAGAACATCAACAGCGCGATAAAGATGGAGTACCGTGATATTAAAGCGCAGGGGTCTGTGTTTTTGGTTTTGCAGGCGGTATATCCATATCTTTTACAGGCCGGGGGGCTTGCGGAGGTGGAAGGGCCGATTTGTGTTGGGATTCGGGGTTGGACGAATCTACGGGATGGGCCATCGCCTGAGTTTATGTCTCAGGTTTTTGTACCAAATATGAAAAGGTTGGGGTATCCGGAGATGCAGATTGAGGTGCTTGAGCGGCAATGGTATAAGGGATCACCGAGACTAGGGTCTGTGAAGTGTTTGATCAATCCTCTTCCTTCAACTAGGGGCCCTGACGGGAAGGTTAATTGTCATTTCCCACCGCTCAATCTGGATCAGTATCAACGTGGCCGAGTCACCAAGATCGATATCACTGTCCTCGCCCCAGATGATGAGGTATTCTGGCCGACCAGGGTTTTCGGGAAGAAGGAAAACCTCACAATCCGCAAACTCATCGAACAAGAAATCACCTCAAGGCTCGTCCGGCTTAAACTCCCAGAACATATATACGACCGCAGGTCCCCCATTGCTATTCACACCTCCGAACGCACCTTTCACCACACACACGTCTACATTCTAATCGTCGCGCATACAGATACAGGCTTCCGGCTATCATGCGACGTCTGCCACAAACCAAAGGGTTATATCTTCTCGCCCGATCCCAAAGACGAAAGCAGACAGCGATATTCTTACATAAAAGAACTGCTCGATTTATGTACTGTCAAGTTCGCCATGGAACTATATAATACCTTCTATGAGAAATACAAACCTCGGGAGGGAATACACCGGTCCTGCGTGGACAGCTCTATGCGTAATCAACTAGCCATTTTCGAAGCGCTGGGCCAGTTGAACCCTGTTCGTGAGCGCAAGAATGAAGACAAAGATGAGAGAAAGGACAAGACAATTTTATCTCATTGCCGGTCGTTGAAGACTGCCCTGGCCTCGTGGAAGAAGAGGCCTGAGATGAAGACCATAGAAGATGACCGGTACTGGTGCCTGCATATGAAGAGCGCACGGTGGGTCTGTGGAGAGGTTCTCGGTATCAAGCTCGCGTAGATTAGTATCGTAAGCTCTACATCTTCATTTGCTATTGTAATGCGTTTTATTTTGGCTCGGTCAACAAAAGCAGAAGAACAATAACAAGGAAAAGAAGCGAATAAACCAGTGAGTTAGTTAATGTCACACAAAACCCAGAATCAGACAGAATGCAAATCTCCACATCGCACTTCAAAATGCCAAATATCAACCCCCTCTATCAACATCTCCTCCCCATCATCCACCCACCATGCCGCCCCCACCCAAGACCGACAACCACCTCCACCTCCACCTCAACGGCAGCACCCTCAAAGCCGGCGGCCAAGTCCTCCGCAACGCCCTCGCCCTCTCAGCCCTAATATCCCGCCCCATCACAATCCACTCCATCCGCGCCACTCGTCCCAGAAAGAGTCTGAAAGCAACACATCCCCCGCCCATCAAGTGCCAGCCGAAATCAGCAATAGCGTTGTCGATGGCGCGGAGGTGGGATCGAACAGGTTGACAATTTATCCGCCGGAGACGAGGGCTACGGTGAAACGGGAGTATGTGTTTGAGATGGAGAATTAGGCGAGCGTGGGGTTGGTTTTGCAGGCGGTTTATCCGTTTTTACTGTGCGGGGGTGCTGTGAGAGGGCCGATTAAGTTGGATATCATAGAGGGTACAAATGTGCAGAAACCTCCGCTAGTCGAGTATATTTCGCAGGTGTTCGCGCCAAATCTGAAGGTCTTGGGTTTTCCGGAGCTAATTGTGGAGCTACTCGAACGAGGATGGACTGTGGGATCACGCAACCCTGGGAAAGTAAGATGTTTGATCAATCCTCTCCCATCGATTGAGCGAAGAATTGATTTCCCACCCCTCAATTTGAACAAGAATCGACGCGGCAAAGTCACCAAAATCGACATTACTGTTATAGCACCAGATACAGAAACCCGGTGGCCGGGTAACTGTCCTCTAGGCCCAGAGGAGGTCCTCAGCCTCCGCAAATACATCGAGCATGAAACCATTGCCAAGCTCCGCGAGGAGCTAGACCATGTACCATCGCATATGATGATGAAGATGTCCCCATAAGCATCCACTACTCTGAGGCTACCTACCACCCCACACGTCTACATCATGATAGTAGGACACGCGACAACTGGCTTCCGCATCGCGCGCGACAGTCTCCTCAATATTGAGGTTTATTTCAGATTCAAGGAGGACAAGAAGAACCCTGATGACCACAGGGATCACGAGAAAATTTTGATTCGTAATACAATTGAAAGCAGCGCATATTGTTTCCGCTTGGAACTATGTGATGAGGGCATTGAAGAAGAAGACTGCTTGCATCAGCCGTGCGTAGATCGGTCGACGAGGAATCAATGGTTATTCTGGAGGCATTGGGGAAGTTCTATTCCTCCCTGGGCGAGGATAAGGTCGTGAATGGGAATGAGAAACAAAGGCCTTGGAGCACGGAGAATAGTCGGTACTGGAGTCGGCATACTAATAGTGCACGGTGGGTTTGTGGGGTGGTTCTTGGGGTGGAACTGTGAGCCCGCTTGGAGGATTGGGACGCTTCAAGGGGACCAAGCCCACGCTCTTTGTATCTGCTATTACAAAGTACAATCTGGGCGGCGCATCCATCCCGTTCGTGTCTCCGGAAAACTACCATCCCACTCTCATTCTGCATTCATAAGCAAGGAAAAAGCACTTATTACATCGCCAGCGTATCGCGTATATGCGACGGCCAACCTGAACTCACCGTACCTCCTCCCTACAAGTCAACAAGTGTCCTACCCACGCCTACATCTACTCCATCCAGTAACCATGCCCGTATTGGTATCCATACTAAACGCCATGTAACTGCCTGTGGCTGTGCCTTTCCGTCCCGGCTCGGTTGGCAGCACAGCCATCCCCATCACCATCCCCACAAAACTAGTACGCACCGCCACAAGCCACACCCCACCATCAATAAAGCCGACCAATAATAACCCCCGGAAGTAAATTGAGCTGGCTGTGCGAGTTGTGGCTGTGGCGGCTTATATGCCGGAATCGGTATACTGGTTGCTGATTCGGGGTCTCCGGTCATTTATCTGAGATTTGTGACGGTGAGTAAGGGTGTTTGCTGCGATCTGCAGGGCAATTGGAAAAGGTACCAGTTCAGGGACAGGCAGGTACAGGTACGGAAACAATTGGCGTAAATGCAGAGACCCGGTGAATACGGAACCGCTGGGACAAGTGACACAGGAGAAGAGATGGTTTCAGATCCAAGTTGGGTGTCTCACCTGAGCTTACATGTCGCTTAGCCTTGTTTTTACGGGATGAGTAGCTGTGCTATGGAGCACTGGTAGAATGCCAGAAGCGATTGTTTCAGTAAATGCTGATATGTAGAGCTATAGCGATGGGGTATGGTGGCTTAACCACAGCAAATGCAACAAAAAGTGTGACAACAAGGACTAAACGAATGTCCATAGAACAGAACAACATGCGCCACTGCTCGCCAGCAGCAGATCCAAAGATCCCACCCCCATGTACAGACATGAACCCGAGATTTTGCGATTCCCGACAGCAATCGAGAATAATCCTTTTCCCTCTCTTTAGAATTTCTCTTTTCCCCCCAAAGCACCGAACAACAGTGCAGGCTCCAGACCAAACCGAACCGAACCGGAAGAAGCAACCAAAACGAAAACCAGAAGATAACCGCCCTGAAATATGTATAACGAATGACTGAAACGAATAAACTCCCGGCGATGCATCTTGGTAATAATTTAGTGAAATAGTAAATAATAGCGAAAGTAGTAGCGAAAAGCGAACAGTGAATAGAACTCGTTGACGGAACAAGAACCACAACTCGGAAAATGGGTCCTAGCCTGTAGGATATCGGTTGGGTGTCGTTGTGTTCCGCCGGAAGAAAGAATCTCATCGACTCATTATTTGGGTGTTTATTCCAGGCGGGTTTGCCGGAATGGAGAGTCTCTCTCTGAGGGGAGAGATCTGCGGTAATCCCTGGACTGCGCAAAGGGGGATGAGAAGGCGGATGGGCGACGGAGTTTGAGGCTCTACATTCATTAGCATATTTCCATTTGGACAAATGTTTGGAGTGGTGCATACCACACAGTCAGCGCACTTTGCGCCATCAATGTTGACACGGCCGCGGCATCCGCGGGGGTAGTTGGCGCAGGAGTACATGATGCGATGTAGGATTTGGCAATAAGAAACGGATTAGATCGTATAGATATCGTCGTTGTTCCCGTCAAGGGAGCTTTTTCGTTGCTTAGGGTTGGTTGGTGGTATTAAAGGAGTGGAAGCGGTGGACAGTGAAAGAGGTTGAGAAAAACACAGCCCAGATTGGTGTTTAAAAAATGAAAAAAATGAAAAATAAGACCAAGCCGCAATAGGAGAAATGACGTCGGGCTAGTAAATTGTATGGAGCGAGGCTGATGCTTGGATTTCTTGCAGATAATAAATTAACACGGCGAGGCTAGACTAGCAGTGGAAATAGGCCGATGACCGAGGACTAGACCGGCAATTGTTGGACCTGGAGAATGTAGACGACTGGCGTTGGTATTCGGAGCTCTGACAATTGGAAGTATAATAAAGGAATGACGAGAAGGATTTGCTGTCAAGGAACGACGTAGAACCAAGGAAAGGGAATGGTAATCGAGAAAGAAAAGACCGGAAAAGACCAGAGATTTATATCGACGGGGCCCGACAAGAACCCACCGGACGGGGATTCTAGAAGGAAGAAGCGGAATTCCAGGCCAAAGTCAAATCCCTTTCTCTAATGCTACTCCGTATTTGCTAGTACCAGGCAGGAAAATTAACAGAAGAGAAATTTCAGATTGGGATCCATCAATGCCGGTAGCCAGTGGGTATACAGAGAGACAGGCGGAGTCCGGGTCGAAACAACACAAATCACACCGGGATAATAATCGAATAATAATGCGAAATAATTATTATCAAATTAGCCGCTAAAAAATCTATGGAATACATAATCGAAAAGAGAAAAAAAAAAAAAAAAAGAAAAAATCGGGCAAAAGTGACTGGCCGTTAGGCTAGGGGCACATCAATATTTTTTCCTTCTCCTTTAGTGGAAACCTCGATGTTCCCGGAGCTCTGGATTGGTCGATTGAAAAGAGATCCGGGAAGAAGATGGAAGTCTGTGTTGCTGTCTGCATGTCATGTTTGTTTCCCTTAATCCCGAATGAACCTGGAATCTGGATCTGTATGTATTCTGGATATCTTGTTTGACCCTGTCCTCTCTTCTTAGCTCCGGATGCATCGGATCAGCAACGCCAGTTGATAATACTACCCGGCGCGTTGGATATCGACTGGGTCTGACTCCGGGGTCGTATCGTAATGACTCGCAGTACATCGGTCACAGTTTCCCTTTCCCCCTTGAAAAATAATAAAAATTTCCCTCACGATTCAATTGCCAATAGTCGCAGTCGCACCGGAACCAGCGTGATCTGACATGGGACATGGGTCAAGGGAGAGAAAAGAGGAGATCAGATCCTGTCAAACTTTTTTTCTGCCCCGGGTTTGCTGGACGATCGAGTACAGGACCCGGAGTCTCTGGAACTCGGGGGGTTCTGTAAGTAAGCACGGAATCACAGCACTCTGTCGCTGTACGTGGCAGTCGTACTCGTACAGTCCAACAGTTCCTCATCCCATGATCGTATTCATCCCATAATCCCATAGAACAATCAGGCAGTCCCACCTCCTATTCAGCAGTGGCCAGCAGTGACTCCATCCGTGGTTTCGGGTTGACAAAAGCCTAGCATTTGCCCGCTTTCTCCTGAACAAGCAAGCAAACGCCTCGCATGGGCCCGACTGCTTGTCGCACCATCAAAGTTTCAACCTCTTTCTGGAATTTCGCCCATTTCAGGAGTAGCTGCCCCTCTTTTTTGTTTGTTTCCTTGTCCTCCGTCGGAAGGCGCGGGATGGGGGGGACTGAATCCAATCATTCCGGTCCATTTAACCGACAATCATGATGCAATTGTACATGAGTGCTTCTCCATACGGCGGAGCTTTCTTTGAGGACGCTGCAGGAACAGTCTGGGCTGGATGTAGTTAGTACAACCTCATACTCTATGCTGTGCCTTTATTGTGTACACCGAATTGAGTATACGGAAATTGTGCCCAAGCTAGCTATTCCGTGTCAAAGTTTCTTCAAGTCCCGTTGAGAAGACGCCGGTCGGCAACGACACATTGCAGCTGGCATCGTACAAGGCCGTCCTCCATTAGCTGCATGCCCAAGGTAACGAGAGGAACGATACTTTCAATTGAACAGCGTTCCAGACCATTCAACCAACTTTCGCTCACTCACGACAATATCCAGTTCCGCAGCCGAAGTAGGTGAACGACTGAACACCCTGGCAAACTCCAGTGTGAGGCCCCCTGAAACCGAGGGGGACTAACAGGGTGGTCAATCGTGATATCAGTCATGAACCCTTGCACCGTAGGCGACGTGCCCGGAACATATTTGAGGATCTGGATCTTCTTGTTCGCTTTATCGGCTACCAGTAGGACAATGTGAACGTCGCCTTTCGAACTCTCGGCCCACCACCTCATGTCCGCTTCGAGGCGTGGCGTGCAAGGGATCTTTCTGTATTCCCGCTTCTACGGCGAGTGAGGGCCAGTATTCATCGTTGCGACGGACGCTTCTGTTTTATACGTCGAGCCTCCTTTTAGAGAGCGGTCGAGCGCGCGCGATCGGTACCGATGTTCGAATGTCATCGCGTCCATGCAGCGCAAGTTCACGAAAAAGACCTTCGAAGTCCTTATGCGCTGCTTTGCATGTCCTCGTTGGTATCTTGGCAATAAGTGTCTCGATCGTGGGGAAATATATAAAACGGATTTTGATTCTGTTTCTTGACCGGTATTTATAGATCGCGGCGAGCTTTGCTGGTGGGGTGTTTTAAAGAACATGTAGTTGCTTTGCTCTCCTTTTTCCTGATATATATCCCTCCGTTGGCCATAGACTTGCGCGAGCATGTCTTCCATGTCAATGAATTTGATTGGACGGCCCGCGTTGATGAGGGCGAGGGCCTCGAGATCCGATATTATTGCGTCTGGAGGGCATAATTGGAGCATGTGTGGGTTCTTCGAAGTTGAACGTGAAATCATGAGAATCTTCTTGTGAAGGATATGCGGCGGTCGTGGCATGTCCTCACGTTCATTCAACATGCGCCAGATATTCTCTGAAGAGAAGGAAGAAAAGGTACTTGTTGATTTCATTTACTTTTGAGTAACATGGCCTCGCATTTGACAGGGATCATCAATATCACTATACGAGATTCCGATGTTCGTCACTTCGGAAGCAAAAAAGAATATGAGCGTCTCCAATGAGACGCAAATCCTTGTTCCGGTATACCAAATCCAAATCCCTTCTTCTCGGGGTAATCAGTATTGCTGCAACTTTTACCTCTGCGCATCTGTCCATGAAACTGGCAGGTGAAGAGACCCAAACATGCTCAAGCAGCATAGCACCAAAGCTTTGGTGGAGTCCCGTGTACTCCCAGACATTTGACGAGGGACTCGTCTTTGCGAGTGTTTTGAAGGCGCAGCGCCACTTGCTTCTGGGTGAATCCGACGTCAACCCGACTATAAAAGTCTTCGGGTGGCGGGTTACACCGGCTTGTATCCGAGCCAAAAGAGAAGTTTGTCATTGACCAGATCCTTATCTGGCTATTTGATTAGTACTTCGTAGTCTTTTGATGCGTAAAAGAGAAAGACCCATGTCTACCAGGGAAAAGAATGTCTACACATGGAAATATGATCGGTGTGGGCTTTTTCAACTCGAGGACCCCTAGCAGGGAAGCCGAAAAATAGCTACGTACCGCTCAACGAGACATACTGCACTCAAGTGCTGGTACAAAGCGTCCGAACTCAATGATTGCAGCCGCAAATCGACTCCGAAGGGTGGATTTGCTACCATGAGCCCCAATATGCCGAACAGTATGTTCATAATAACAGACCCATTGTGTTTAAATCCCCACGGGCAAATCGCCCGTAGCTAGCTCTGTTATGAATGTATACAAGTCGGCAGGGCATGACGGTGGATAGCTGTGCGCATTAACTTCAAGATTCTTTCTCCATGCATATCCCGCTGCTATACTTGGCTTTTTCTGCCAAGTAATTCCACTCTCGAATTGTTTTGGTGGATTTAAAGCTTTTGCTTTGGACCGTCGGGCACTTGGCTGTCCTCCGGATCTGGTTCACCTTGTCCGGTATTTGTGACGGGGTTCGGCTATACGAAGAAGAGTTGTCTTCCCGGCTCCTTGAATGTGAATGACTTGAGTATTCTACAAAGATGCATGGCTGCTTGCTAGAGCATCATAGTTGCGGCATGCAAATGGGTTGAAGGAATGTGAGGGCTTGATTAAGTTCTGTGACATGCTTGGGCATCTGTATGTTCATTCGCTCAAGAACACTACAATGTTATTCTATGTTCATTCACTGGAGGGATCGTAGAGATCGCCTGTGTTATCAGTGAGTCTAGCTATCATTGCTGTGTGGCATGACGTGGAGTACTCGACTCAAGAACTCAATAACAAATGTTTTGTGCAAACTGTCCTAATTCTTAATATCCCCGAATCATACCATGAACATTTAAATTTAATATACCTGAATTTGAGCTAAACGAACTTCTACTTTCCGACGTTTCGATAGCCGAGTCCGAACTATATATCCCAGGACCATCTAATTAGCCGCGCCACCAAATCAAAAATAAACACGACCACCACGACCATAAACCCAAACCAGCTAGCCCAGACCCACAATAAACCGTCTCAAGATCAAGTCCTGGTCTGTCCGGCCGTAATGATAAACGATACACCCGGTGATTTTGTGCCATGTTTTTGGCAGTCGGGGATTTTTGTAGGTGTTTCAGTGCGGCGGGCTAGGTTTCACGAGCCTCGAGGATGCCCAACGATTGTTCATGGGCGATGTTATTTGTCGGTTCTTGGATTTGCCAAGGGTATAAGGCGTTATAGGTTATTGATGAGAGGGATAATGGATTCATATAGGTGGGGGACATATCGCAATTTGAATTATAGATTCGGAATCCGGTAGAGTCCTTTGTTCATTTCTGCGCTTCTAGAACGATTCCATGCCTCAAAGTGATTTGTACGATTCGTATTCTGCCGAAAACTGGAACTGTCTGATCCATGTTACGGATTCAAGAACCCTTAAGACTTCGAGAAATTTCGTGCATAGGCATGGTCGGACCACATCGGACAAAGCTCAATGGATCGGACTGAAAATCCGGGGACTGCTTATTCGCACCCAAATAAGTACCATATCCGATCGGCATAAGACATATATGTCTTGCATGAAATGTCCAGGATCATTTTCTGAGACACCCAGTAATCTTAGCTATACAGCATCGACCCAAGCACGAGCCACACTCCAAACACCCCAAGCAATGTCGCAAGCAAGTATCCATTCCCTTCCCATGTCCATCCGGCATACGCCAAGTAGCCGACCAGGAGTTCCTTAGTCCTTGCAGCATCTCGCTTAGATTTCCATTCGGGATCAACCGAAAATGGAGCGGCGAGTCGCACATCGTTCGTATGGTCGATGTTTCCGGGGACTTGGATTGCGTCCAGCGGAACAGAAACCGAAAGCGCAACCGGACGGTGGTCGGATGTCGGGAAGAGGGGTAACGCATCGTATTTATGAGGCTCGACCTTTCGACTCCCCTTCATCCATGACGGTGTATCCAAGTATAAAATACGGTCGCACCAACTGGGCCAGCGGCTACTCGTCCAAATCTGTTCCTGTAGCTTCGGATTTCCGCTGTACAACGCCTCGCGGGCGGTTTTGCGGGCTGCTGATGTATATTTGTACGTCGGTGGAAAGGTAATGGGGGCCTCCGACATACCCTGGAAGGATCTAGCCTTGCGCATTTCCCGCGTAAGCTGGTCGTCCTTCAGTAGCTGCGAATAGTGCTGGGGACTGGATGGGTCTGCGTTGAATCGAGGGAATCGGACATGGTCTCCCTGGAGTGGGCTGGTGTTGGATGTGCGGTAGTTCAAGTCCCCGCCAAGGAAGAGGTAGGTCGTAGGAATGAAGACTCCGACGTCATTGCCGGTTCTCTCAGAGCTCGACCCTTGAAGCAGAGCAGCGCTCTCTTCGGAACTGCCTCCAGCTTCCACATTCTTCTGCTTCGCATCCTGCTCTCGGGAGAAGACCAAACGCTCCACAATACTTCTCCAATCCCGGTTCCTCTGCTCCCAAGCCCATTCCATCGGGGCCAAATGTGCCGCAACAAAAGTCAAATCCACCGTATTGCCGGGCTGCCCATCTGCAGAGTATCCCAACCGCGCACCAACCGCACCTTTGTTCCCCATTTGTTGGAACCCAAAGCCAACACGAGCAGAATCAATCCATGACACCTTATCGACGACATCTGAGCGAGCAAAGACAAGAAGCCCCGTCATGCCAGAGTTGTCCCGCACCAGAATGTCATAGTTCGTACCATCCCACCGTTGCGACACGGCTTGGTCGATCACACGGCGGAAAGCATTGAAGTAGGTATCCAGGTATGAACCTCCGAGAAAGGCATAGGCGATAGGCGCGATCTCTTGGAGGCTGAGCACGATCAATTCGGGGGGTGTGAGGGATTCTTCGGCTGAAGGATCGGTGTGGGGTAGAGCGTCGAAGAAATGCGATGCGAATAGATCGATGTCGACGGGGGTTCGCGCGCAGTTGAAGGTGAGCATATACAGGCTGAGAAAGTCCATTGTGACTGTTCCGATGGTGCTCTCACTTGTTCATGAAGTGTAAAAACCACGAGAAAAGAGAGCGAGTGAGTGTGGGAGAGAAGCGGGAGAAGTCCAATTCAGCTGATGACGTCCTGGGCCCACGTGTCCCGGCGATCTTGAGATCTGACGATGTGCGGAACAGAGTACACTTGTTAGTACCACGAGTTGGCTTTCACATTAGGTTGATTCCAAGGATTAACGAAAGGTGAAAAGGGAGTCAAATCGTGCAAAATATAAATTCTGTAGTGGTTTGAGTATGGGAAAATTGAAGAAAAAGAAAAAGCAAAAAAAAAAAAAAAAAAAAAAACAAAAAAAAAAACAAAACAAAA